GCCTGTGGATCTCGATTTCGGCGAATCGGGTCGGCGGCGAGCTCGATTGGTCTATATTTAGTTGCTTTTGGTGCCTGGGCCTGTCGATCGACGGTCGTATGGGGGGAGATGGTTCGCGATCGTGTGCCGGGGAGACTTTCTGATGTTGTTCTTGATGGCGTTGACCGCTTGAAGCCCCTACTAGATTGCTCTGCTCTGTGGTTATGGCAACGTACTGAAATTTGGGAAAGTGCAGACAGATTTGATAGATCAACATTGGGTCTCTGGTCATCTGTAGTGTTAATTTCTCTTATGCATGGAAGTGCTCATCTTTCTGTTTTGCTTTCGTCTTTTTATATTTTGGTGTGTGGGGCCGTTTTTTTGGACGTGGGTGTGTTAATTGAAGTGAGATTTTAGTAGCAAAATGAGGCAGCTTTGTGTGATTTTTGCTTGGTGCTGCGATTTCGCAGGGGTATGCAGCCAGAGAGTTTGCAAAGCAGGGGCTTGAGCCAGGCGAGCTTGCGATCATATCCAAAGAAGCCGTAAGCTTTTTTTCTCTTGAATAGCGAGGCGTGTGCATTTTCTGCTGCTACCGATGGGGTGGCCGAGTAATTGGTAGTGGTAGTACTCTTTTGAGGCGAGATAAGATCCGCAGGGGGGTTTTGTTTTGTTCGTTTCGCCGTTGTGCCTCGTCTAAGAATGCTTTCCGCCTATCTGTGTGTCATTGTCTTCATCCCTTTTCCGGTGCAGGTTCTGTCTATTCTATTTAGAACTAGCCCATGTATTGGGCGTCATAGTTACACGCTTTGTTCCATGCTTTGATGGTTAAACTCATTGTTCATACTTTATTTATGCTGTACTTCAGGTGGCCCCTTATGAACGCCCTGCACTCAGCAAAGCATATCTCTTTCCAGAGGGTTAGTGTTGGGCTCATCCTTTTTGTCCATTTGACATGCTAGCCAATGACAAAATAGTGCTAATAAGAATCTTGATGCGCAACTATTGGTTACACTCAAGGAACGTAATTCAATGGCAATGGGACATTCTTTTCTTCAAATTCGTAATTCTATGTGGATTACATATCTGCTCGTTTTGAATTGTCCATTTGACATTGTTTCTCTCTTTCAAATTTCTAGGCATCTTCGTGTTTGTAAGCAGCTCTCTGATGTTCTGTAGTAAATGACCTCGAATATTAGAAAATGCACACTATCTTGGATAGAATGCTTTCAGCAATATGGTCACGCATAATACAGTAGTAACTTTTGGAAATATTTTGATATGCGACTTCTGTGATTTACATGGAATGTAACTCAATGGCACGCGAATATTGTTTTCTTGTAATTTGTAAATATATGTGGGTAAGCATCTACTATCTGCTAATGGACTGACGTTGTTTTCTTCAAATTTATTGGCATTTTCACATTTATAAGTAGCTTTCTAAAGTTGTCTAGCAAGCGACCATGGATATCAGAAAATTCAAGCAATATTGCGATGCGCACTTTTAACACCATATGGTAGACACTCTCAAATGATATAAGGATGTGTCTGGAGCGACTTCTGCCTTTTTACTATCTGTTTTTTCCAATTATCGCAGCGTATGCATCTTGACCTTGTTTTAAACTTAGGTACCTGAAACTTTTATAATATATAAATGTTGACATGTAGATTCCCTTTTTAAGTTTTCCTTATATTTTAAAGTTTAAATAATTGTTTAGATTTTTGCAGTAAGAAAAGAAACAATTACTTGTTGGTTTTCATTAGTCTAAACGAACAGGCCCAATACTTAAGATAATATATTGATTATTGTTGAACTCTCATCTGTTTGAATATAATAGTGGCTGAGCGTTTCCCCTCCCCCCCTCCCAGGTTTTGCACGACTCCCGGGGTTCCATTGCTGTGTTGGAAGTGGTGGCGAGAGACTGCTTCCTGAGTGGTACGAAGAGAAAGGTAATGCTCTTATTCTTACTTTCTTCCCTGGTCACTTGACAGAGCATTGAGTTTGCTCCCTTTAATCTACGTCATAGGATAAACATCATTCTCAAAGTAGTCACATGTATTTCTCTATGGATGATTGCAGGAATAGAATTGATTCTTAGCACAGAGATAGTGCAAGCAGATCTTGCTGCTAAGACTCTTCTAAGTGCTGCTGGAGAGATCTTCAATTATGATATTTTGATCATTGCGACCGGTTCGACAGTAAGTATATTTTCTTTGAAGCTCCAAGCTCTCTTCTGTCCTCCGGGCGGAGAGACTGATACGCCAACCCATCGTTGTAGGTGATTAAGTTGACAGATTTTGGTGTTCAAGGAGCTGATGCCAAAAACATCTTCTACTTGAGAGATATTGATGATGCCGATCAGCTAATTGAAGCCATCAAAGCTAAAAAGAATGGCAAATGCGTCATTGTTGGCGGAGGATACATAGGACTTGAGCTTGGTGCAGTTATGAAAATGAACAACATGGATGTCGTCATGGTTTATCCTGAACCATGGTGCAGTAAGTATACATAAAGACCCCTATCGACAATTATTTGGTTTCATGGCAAGTTATTTTTCGTGGATTCCACCCTAAAAAAGATTATTATTGCAGTGCCTCGGCTTTTTACTGCTGGTATAGCTTCCTTCTATGAGGCCTATTATGCTAACAAAGGAATTAATATTATCAAGGGAACAGTTGCTGTTGGATTTACCTCTGATGCTAACGGAGAGGCATGTTCTCCAATCTGTTAATTTTGCTTTCCAGCAGTTTCATGTAATTGGGCATTTTCTTACTCCAAGAGTTATTGTTATTTCCATTGTCCAGGTAACAGAAGTGAAACTCAAGGATGGCAGGGTCTTGGAAGCTGACATTGTAGTGGTTGGTGTCGGTGGTAGGCCCCTCACAAAACTTTTCAAAGGGCAAGTTGAAGAGGAGAAAGGTGGAATAAAGGTTAGTGGGGCCTTAACAACGTTTTACATTACTAAGTCATACTCTCCATAGAGATTTAGTTTCAGGGCTTATGAGTGCAACGCGCCCAATTCATTTTTTTGAGGAAGATATATATCTTTTTTGGCAAGAAAGGGAATAGATCATCTAAACAAAGTGTGAAAGCATTATGTGCTAATGGGTACCGGTTGTTCTGGCTATGAAACAGTGCATGTCTCTCTAATATTTGGCGACATGTTTGTAATCATCCACAGGGAAGCTTAATCTGTGTGTTCTTTTTCGACATTCTGGGCTTATGCCGAGGCAAGGATACAGATCTAATTTGTTGATGCTGTTCTATTGATTGCAGACTGATGGGTTCTTTAAAACAAGTGTGTCTGATGTGTATGCTGTTGGAGATGTTGTTACTTTCCCGATGAAGTTGTATGGTGAAATGAGAAGAGTTGAACATGTCGATCATGCTCGTAAATCAGCTGAGCAGGCTGTAAAGGTACAGGCTCTCTCTCATATTTAAATATTTTTGCTTTAGTTTGAATTGTGGATAACCAATATCGACATCTCTATGGTTTGAGCATCTTCGCTTTCACTTCAAGTGTGGAAAAACAAATGGTTATTATTGTCGTTTGTCTTGGTACACGAATTTTGGAACCAAGATGATTTCCCGAGTTTTTATGAGCATTCCTTCTACTTCTCAGGCACATCTCATGATTCTGGTATAAATAGACAATGACAATTCAAGTCTTGACCTATGCTATTTCTGTTGTTATGCAGGCCATAAAGGCAAGTGAGGAGGGAAAACCAATTGATGAGTATGATTACCTTCCGTACTTCTATTCCCGTTCTTTTGATCTCTCATGGCAGTTCTACGGTGATAATGTTGGGGATACGGTGCTTTTCGGAGACAACAATCCCACGTCACCAAAGCCAAAATTCGGATCTTATTGGATCAAAGATGATAAGATTGTTGGAGCTTTTCTTGAAGGTGGAAACCCAGAAGAGAACAAGGCCATTGCCAAAATTGCAAGGCTTCAACCTCCAGTTGAAAGTTTGGAGCAATTGAAAGAAGAAGGGCTTACCTTTGCCTGTAAGATCTGAAGCTTATGTTGAGGAGGGCTGTTTGATTTAAGGGCCAACTACTGGTGTCTATAGCGGATTGGGTATGGTAATAAAAAGGTTGGTCTTCTGTTATCGTGGACAAACACGAGGGCTTTGTCTTGCATTTGTTGTAGAATGTGGATGTTTGTCTCTTTTATCTAGTAAAACTTTGTTGCTTATTTTTGTAAACTCTCTCTCTCTCTCTCTCTCTCTCTCTCTCTCTCTCTCTCCACATGCACGCACGCATGCACATGCACCAATCAAATCTGTGAGATGATACAGTCCTCTCTATACCTAAAATTTGAGGGTCCTGACGTAGATTAGATGACTTTTTCTTGATTCCTAGTATTTTAGAGTTTCCAATCGACCTAGGAAATAGATGGGTACCAACTATGGTTGATGCTTTTGGATTAGATGACTTTTTCTTGATACCTAGTATTATAGAGTTTCCAATTGACCTAGGAAAACGATGGGTACCAACTATGGTTGATGCTTTTAGAAGAAACTATCTGAAGTCAAGTTGACATGCTGTACGCTATTTTGAGATTAGATGGAGATGTCAAAATCTGTAAGTGGAGAGCCCTTGAGATGTGTTTTTCTATCTTGTTTGGATGTTGGATAATGAACGAGCTAGAAGATTTTCCGTTAGTCAAGTGAGTTAACCGTGTATAAATTTTCGGCCCCCCAAAAAAAAACCTGTGTATAAATGACCCGTTTCTGTTAACGCTATGCATCAAACGCATTCTATACCCAAAACCTTTTATCTGCGAGTTTTAGTAAGCATTGACAATGCACAATCTTAGGTGCTGAATGCGCCCTTCTTCTGAATGCGAAAATGGGCTAGTTTTTTCGCGACCTGAATATCAACCAAAAGAATTATGGAAGACCCCTGGTTTTGTTGTTTAATTATGGCGCTATGTATCGCTTTACTTTTTAGCATATCAATGAGCGGGATCTGGGACACGAACCACAACACTGTATCATGGTGTTCCTTGCAAATATCATATGGATTTTCTCGTTGTAAATTGTCATTTGCAATATCAAACAAAGAAAGGGAAAAAAGTAGAACAAACTAGGTTCTCATTGCAATTTTACATTATATTCTAGTTGAAACTAACATCTTCCTACCAAGACCTCACTCATTTCCTTCCCTGAGCCTGGAAAAAGCCAGATCCTGATTGAACCAGGGTCTTCCAAAATTGCTTATTGCAGGCACAATCAATATCCTGAGGCTGGTCCGATCCATGATTGGATCGGATAGTTGCACTTGAAGGAATTTAAGCCGCTGATATGAGCAAAGATATCTGAAGAATCCATCACTTCCTCCTCCTCCTTCACTGCAACCTGCGGCAAAGTGATAAGTGTCAGTACGAAAGCAAATCAACAATAACAAGACGACAAATTATTGAAAACTAGCGATAGCGTCTTGATTAGCAGCAATGCTAGCTTGTGACAGTCATAGACAATCTTACTTCATCCTCCTCCTCATCGTCATGAGTGCTAGAAGAAGGCCTAGATGCTTCTCCGAGCTCGTCGTTCTTCGCAAATCTTCCTCTCACCCGAGGACGACTATCTGCTAGAGTTTTGCGGCAAGCATACTGCATATAAACAGTTTAATTACAATATCAACATAAGATTGATTGATGAGTTATTTGCCAAGGCAAAGAGGCCGATACTGATATGAGAGAGAAAGAGAGAGAGAGAGAGAGAGAGAGAGAGAGAGAGAGAGAGAGAGAGAGAGAGAGAGAGAGAGGACCTTGATTTTCTTGCTGAAGTTCCTTTCATTCCTTTTCTTCATGTACCGATGGATCTTCTCTTTCCTTTCCTCAATGGAGAGCTTCCCCACTTTATATGCTGAGTCCTCAAAGCTTGAAGCCTCTGTCGCTAATGGTGAAGAAGAGCTTGCCGGGCCATTAATCAGCTTTTGACTTTCAATATTAAGTGCCTTCACCACAAAAAAGAAAACTAACTTTCAGGCCACAAATTCTGTGAAATAGATCAAGAAAATCTACTGCTTTTCTCTTCAAAAGTGACTCAATAGAGAGCTATACAAGCGTGTTAAGGGCCTTCAAATTGAAGTTATTATTGCTAATCGTTAACCATTTTCCGTAAGTCTAAGTCGGACAACGTCAAGTAGGAAAAAAAATTCTAGTACCTGCATGTCGCCCGGATTGATCAGTATCTGCGGGTTTTGGTTCGGGTAATAAATCCCAGCGCTATCTCCTCGAAAATCCAGCTCTGGTGCTTGGAGTTCAAGAAGACTTCCCATGAACATCCCAGAAGTGTCGCCACATAAGTTCCCAGGTACATTATTACTATATGTCCCACAGTTGTTTGGGCCTAGAAAAGCGCAAGAAGGCAATGGCCGGCTTAAAGGGATGTAAGACGGGATCGAAGATAGGCAGTTTTCAACAATCGGGGGCGGAGCCGGGCATAAGATTGCTCCTGCTTGGTTGGTCGATGGCGGTGGGTATGGGGAAATAACCCCGTTGATGATGTGATCGGTTAACGGGATTTGAGGTTGTGCCGGAGAGAAGTCGAATTGATGCTCTTGTTGAGCCGTGCTGGAGAATGGAGGGACGTAAAAGGGAGGGGAGGTGGAGAAGTCGATTGAGGCAGAGATGTCATCGACTTCATCGACCGGGGAATCACCGAAGAGCGTTGAGAAATTGGAATTGTTGTTGTGAGCTACATTGGTGGGGATGTTATTGCTAGTGGATGGAGTTGTGATCATTAATGTGTTGCTGTTGAAATGACCATTGCCATTGTTGTCTTGAAAATTATTGATGTTTTCAGTGTCTGGGGGCAAGCAGAGATGAGTGCTGAAGGTGTTGTCTTCATAGCAACGATTTGAGCATGAGGTGGTTTCAGAACTCTGCATGATTTCGCTTCCTAATAGCTCTGCCTCACAATACTCCAGTAATTGAGCACTCAGAGGGCTTGAAAGTTCCTCCTGTAAAATTAGTGTAAAGAAAAATCAGTAATCTCTCTAAGATAGTCGATAACTCATGATCATAAGCCTATGTGTTCTCTTATTATGGTCAATATTTTCAGATGCTTGTCATCGTCAAGGTAGCGGATTTACCTAATGTCATTAATTAGCCGTATGTGTTAGGCATTGTGCTTGTGCATAGGCTTAAAAAGGTGGATAGTTGGCGCATTGTGAGATTAATTAGGAAACAGACACTTCTACTAAATGTAAGAAGCAGGAATTATACAAATGGAAAAGTATCAAGGGAGCTAATATAGAACTTATGGCATGCTGTGAACAACCAAGCTTTTCTTTTGTGGCCAACCCGACTTAATCCGCCCTAGACGGTGCATAGATACGACGACTCTGTTATACTACAAGCGGAATATCGGTGCGCGCTTATTAGATGTATTTCACGGTACTTAAAAGTTAATCCTAACTCAAATAAGCTCAACCAGAGAAAGCTTGAAGAAGAAGCATTGAAAGCTACTCAACCCAAACTAGAAAAGAATGAATGGAATCAACTAAACTAAGGCTTTGGGTGGTGATTGTGACCCTTGGAAAATGACATATTATGGGCATATACGACACCGAAACATCGTTATCTAATTGAAGCTCAAAAGGGAACGCCATCGAACTCATCACTTGACCGGTTCGTACAGAAAGTTCCCTCGTTCTACTTGCCCATCTAAATTGCGTCTGCGTCATTCAAGGCATCCACGGATGTTCATGATACTCTCTAAATGTTCGTAAAGGTCGTGAATAATTTGCCGACGAGCATGGGAACTCGGACCTGTATTATTAAGTTCAGATTCTTCCTTGACGTGTGTTACTTGACAAGAAAGTTCAGGAGACTGAAAAATTCCATCAAGACTCAAAAAGAAGACAGCAACTCGCAATGCTCAAAGGTAACAGAAACGCTACCAAGAACATTGATAATGAAGAATAAGGTTGGCTCAAAGAACAGCGACGCATTTCTGTGTATCTGTGCTCAAGGAAGCTTTTTCAGCATCGTAAAAGCTACGTGCATGTAAGAACTTACTTTTCGTGAAAGCTGGAACAGCCCTTTATGAACCAATCTCTACGGTATCTCTAACATATATTCTTTGCAAATGTCAAACCAAACAGGGAAACCTAAACGATGATTGAGATCAAAATGACCAGATCATCCGACATTTTTTTTTGGAAGTTGCTATGTTCTTCGCATGTATATTCACGCCGTTTCCGGAAGAAAGCATGCATGCATGCATATGCATTATCAACAGAAAAAAAAAAAAAAAACGAGTTCGAGAGCTTCGAATATATTACGATCGGAAGTTGCACTTGTTCTGGATCGCCAATCACGTCCTCTATCATCTTCCTTTCCCCTTCGCAAGCTCCGACCCGAGAGAGAGAGAGACTCACTTTCTAGGCAGCAGCAAAGAACATCCTCAGCAAGCAAAAATCTGAATGAAACAAATCAAAGGTAGAGAAAAATAGGGTTTCAAAGAGAGAGAGAGAGAGAGATGTGTTTGAAGCTTTGTAATGATATGTGTGAAGAAGGGAGGGAAGGTTGTAGATAGCTAAGAAAATGGAAGGATTGGGTTGTCAAGCTCCGGCTATATATAGGGAATTGGGGGTTGTCCATACTTAGTTGTCAACTTGGCTAATTGTTTGTGTCAACCCGAAATTGAAGGCTCACCGCATTTGCCTTTCAACCCTTTCCCCGCTGACGTGGCGCATCCGATGCTAGCCTTGACGGCGTTCGCGAATGAAGTTGGAATTAAGCTTCAATTCTTCACCCCTCTCTCTTTACGTGACGCCATATTCACGTCGCTCAATTCGTCAATTTATTGGCGATAAGGCTGTGTTAAAGTATCTCATATTTTTCGTCTACAAAATTATGTACGAGTCATATTTCTAATAGTTTGAATGAATTAAGGGTTTTGAAGCCATGCTAAGTAATTTTATCCTAAAAAATAAGTTCTGCTCCCGGCAATTTTTCAAAAGATATTGCAGTCAAGCAGAGATTACATATTTTCTTTCCACAATGCCCTCACAAATCATTTACTTAAATGTACAGCAACTTACAATGGCATTGTTGCTTAGGATAAACCAAACTTAGAAAATTCTAATCTTTAGCGGACTTTTTAGGCTCAAGAACCCTATTTTAATTACTAAAACATATTCGCCTGGTTTTCTTGTGATCTGTCATTAATTAATTTTGGACCCAACTAAGAAAATTATCCAAAGCCGTCCTTGATGTATACCGTATATTACATACATTTAATATTATTCTATCCGATAGCTTAAGTATTTGATTGGACTTTCTAGCGTATTAAAACGCGTCTAATCTCATCTATATTATTAGTTCGACAACATAAAAATGAGTTAAAAGAGCAATTCGTATTCCATGTGGTATGACTGGAGCTGCCTTTCTCAAGTTTGTTAATTAATGACGAAATGTTCGCAACTTCACCAACGATAAATCTACTATTCATGAAAATCTATGGTTAAATTACGAAGTTTGTGCAACATCAAGATGATTTTGACCCTAGAATCTAGATAAACTCAGGAAAAATATGCAAAGCAAAGGGCTAAGCATGGGCTCAATTTGGAAGCGGAAGCGAACAGGAAGAAAATAGTTTTAAGGACGTCGCTATAGAATGGAGCATCTAAGACCATTTCTATAAAGTTTATATTCTCATTATTTGAGAATGTTTTCAAGAAGATAAGCATGAGAGGGGTGTTGCTTGATTCTCGTCAATCATAAAAGATGATTGACAAGAAATTAATCAAAAAGTTCTCCCAGAAAAGGTGATCGTGATAGTTCAGAAGTGGTAACTAGGGTGTTTAATTTTTTTGGATGTGTGTTTGACTTTTTCTCGCGTAGGCTCGTTTCAAGCATGTGGCATTCCGGCGAAGCACGTGGCATTCCGGCGATGGCGAGATGTAACATCTTTAATTTTGAATCGAATAACCTAAAAAGAATATACGGTATTATTCGGTCAACTGTGGGTGTAGAATGACGTGTCGTCCATCCAACGGTCTATGCGAAACTTATTATTATCTTTTTTGCATCAGCAGTTAACCCGAAAAAAAAATCCATGAAGTAATGTTTGCAAATCTACTCTAATAACAGCTTTCAAGACATTATTATAAAATCAGGTGGATGTTTCATTTCCTAATGAGAATGACAACAAATGACAACATGTAAGGTGTATCGATCGCACAGCATCAACAATTAGCCAATTTATTTTTCCATAGATTGCTACCTATAAAATCATGTTCTATGCTTTTCAAATTGTTATTCTAGCAAAAGGGATTAATTTGATTTCGACACTAATAATATACCGAAAAAAGGTTTTTTATTTTATTTCGTTTAGTCAAGACATGCATTGTTTCACAAGTTAAGAAGCACACAAACTTAACTTCTAGAATCAAAGACTAAACAATATGAATGGAGCAAAAAACATAGCAAAAGGGTCAATCAGATTAGGTGATTTGGATAGATGCCTTTCACGTGCAATGTCAGTTTGAGGGCGACCTCCATGAAATCACAAGAAGAAAAATCGGTGAGCAGGACCTCGAATTTGGCCTCCATTGAAACGCCTTTTCAATTACAGAATTGATAGAGACAAAATTAAATGGATTGACAGGAAAAAGATAAAAAAAAAAAGAGATTAATATCACGAAAATTTCTAAATTGGTACATTCGGACAAATATACCCAAAGCTAATTTTTTAACCACCGAAAATCTCAAACCGGTACACATATGGCAAATTTACCCAAAAATAATTTTTTGACTGCCAAAAGCCCAAAATAGGTATATTTTGTGACAAAATTACCCTCCGTTAAATTAGATTAATACCACAAAAAATCACAAACTGATACATTTGTGATAAACGGAGGGTAAAATCTCAAACTAATATACCCGTCAGCTCTCACGTGTCATTTAACTTAGTAATTTGCTAGTAAAATTTAACGAAAACTAATGATGGGTAAATTTGTCAAAGGGGTACAAATTTAAGATTTTTGGTGGTTAATAAATTAGCTTGGGGTAAATCTATCGCATGTGTATCAGTTTGGAATTTTTCGTGATATTAATCCGAAAAAAAAAGACAAAAAAGGAAGGAAAAGAAAGAAAAAGCATAGTGAAGAATATAGATAATGCCACGGAAAGGCAAGAGAATAGTATCCGGTCAATGCATTTTCTTAAGAGGCTCCCCATCACTTCCCCTTTGGGTATAAATAGACCTTACGGAAACCCTAATGTTAATAATTTCCTTCGAATTTCTGAATATTCTTTTGTCCTCGCCAAAATTGAAATGACTACCTCGAAAGAGCCACCCAACAAAAAAGATGAATTCAGTTGCATTATGATTGAGGATATGTACTCCCAAAGTCCCGATTTTATTGTTCGGATATGAAGATAAAGGGTATATGATGACATGACTTTGAAAGGTGCAACACCGATCCTTTGGGATAAAATGGACCGTAGCAAAAAATAAGGAAGCCCAGATTGAAATTGGACACTTGACATACACGGTTCGCTCGATAAGGCTTACTTTGCGAGGGTGAGTAGTATAGAATAGATCGAACGGTATAACATAAATTAAAATTACACTCGAGCCATTCAAGTACTTTTATTGTTTATACATTTCACATAGGGTTTAGCTCTCAGAACTCCTCGCAAAGTAATATCCCGATTTTGCAATAGAATGCACGAGTTCTTACATTAACTCGAAAGCGATCTTAGATTTTTTGGCCGGATGTGATTCAACGAACACTTGCACAACCGTGGAAGTGAATGACAAACCCATAAAACAATGCACATGGAGAAACCAAAAGACCAAACTTCCGTCAAACACCAAGTCGGTCATGAAAGTCCACTTTCAGGCTTTCCTTATGCGGTCGAGTTTCGGTGGATGAGTTCAAACTCGAAATATAATCTTTACACGGACCATGCGCGTTTTCAATGATGAAGTAATCGAAATATGAAGAGATGAGTAGCACAATTTTTGATATGTGCCTTAAATAGAGTACATAGTATGACTATATAAGAAAATCCATGTAGCTATTAGCTAGCCCCACTTAATGGGAAAAGTCTCGTCGGCGCAACTCTTCTCCTCATCATCGTTGTTGTAGTATTTCTGTATCGATTTTAAGAGGCACACAAAGTAAGCAATTTTTATAACCTGCGTGAATTTATAAAGAAAAAAACGAGTTTTGTCTTAAGACAGCTTGTATTACAAAAGGATTCTCATCTCTATGAGCAAACCACAATTCATCTATTTGAGAACAAGATATACCATCTAAGAAATATATCTCACCCTAGCTTGTCTCTAATTTCAAGATGAACAATGGGGTTAGGGTTTCAAAGACAAACTTACAAAACCGATAATTTACAACATGATTTGATGAACTGTAAGTGTCCATTTTAAACAATGAGAAACTTATTGAGGCATCAATAAGTGTCTCCATACTTGTCGACCCAACTTCTTATTTCGATGAAACTTCTTTTTCGAGATATACAAAAACTATGCTATCTAGAGAAAGAGCACCAAAATCAAACCCTACATTGAGCAATACTACTGATAATTTCATGTCCACATTTCAAGAGATCCTTCCTTACTCATGGAGGACCCAACAGGGCAGATGCTCGTTGAATTATCACAAAGACAGATAGATTATTTCTGTCAGCCACCTAATTTTACCCATTTTGGACAGTTTTCACATTACTAATATCCAATAACGCATCCTTTGTCCTTCACCTCTTTGGAAACGCCATTTCCCTACCTGTAAAGAGGCTTCACATCATATGACAAACTAGTCGCAATATTCCATTCTTTGGGTAGCGAAGCACGAGTGTTTAGCTTTTCCCATGTTGGCTATGACTCCCTTTCTTCAAGTGAGGATATATCACCACCCTCTTTTGGAGTCTATTTTAGATATTTTTCTCATTTCTCAAGGGGGGATTATTGCACGGATTTGAGCCTAATGTACCGAACATTGATTAATAATGCCGAGTTAAATGTTAAAACATTTGTCATACTTGAGAGCAGGCTACAGTTTAATACGGGAGAATTGTCTAAAAAGTTATAAACCTATTGTACGGCAGCCAATTCAGTCCTAAACCTTTCGATTATGTCAATTTTGTCCTAAACCTTTGGACGATTTACCAATTTAGTCATAAACCTTTCAATTTGTCAATTTAGTTCTATACTTTTTGAAAATTTGCCAATTTAGTCATAAATTTATTAATTGGATAACTGGTCGGAAGGACTACATTGGCAAATCGTCAAAGTTCTTTGGTCTAAATTGGCATAATTGAAAGGTTTATGATTGAATTGACCGCCGTACAATATAGGATTAAGACTTTTTGGACACTTTTCACAATTTAATCTCATTTCTGTCGATCAAATTCAATAAATAGTTATATTTCTGGCCGTTGAACCGCTTTTGGATCCACATCAGAAGTCAATCAAAGGGCATTATCTGCAACTTGTTTTTCATGGTAATGGAAATGAGAACTAGATAATGCTAGGGCTCCCAACAAAGAACTTTTATTGGAAAGTAGATTGATTTCGAGGGTTTTGAGAGTTATTCATGCTTTATATCATTTTATTAAATTTATGCTTGTATTCTTTCTTTCCTTTCAACTCTTTTCCTATCGTCCAAATAACTTGAAGTAATTATTATTTTTCCTTCTTTTCTCATATGTTACTCCATCCAAACATATCATAGAACTAGATGACATCCTCCGCTTTCCAACTAGGTCTCGGGTTAGCGGTTTTAAACATGAACATCACTTACATTCAAACTTAACTTAAAATATGGTAAAGTACTTGTTCGCCTTTGAAAGCAGTTTTTTAATCACCATCCAATGGATCGCTTACCTGTTAAGGGCGTAACGACATGTACTTTAACCATAGTAGTATGGTGATATCTTGAGTCAATTTTCATGCACAGGACTATCACTCTTCCTAGCATAATGAATTCATTGAATCTTAGTCAAACGGCCTATTGAAAAACCTGGGCCGTCATTCAGAAGAAACCTAGGCCTTGTCTTCAACTATACTATGGTCATTGGGCGTTTAATCAAACTTGGCCCAGTAATGTTCACATTTTTTGAAAAAAAAGAGAGAGGAGGAGTTGTTGATCTAAGCTAACTAAACAAAAGCAAATCTTATTTACTTTTGAAAAGTTTTGCATGAAGTATGGCCAATTTCATCCAGATAGCGGCTTTTCCTATTCACATTGTATCGTGTTTTGGACTCTCGGAATTGACTTGTTGGTTAAATTGTCAAGAAGTTTTCGACTTATGAATTAGAGCTTTGCTAGCATAACTGACTGTAGGCCACTATAAGAGTAACAATATATAGTGAGCCACAAATTTTTGAAAGAGTATACTCTACAACAATTTACAATTTTTTTTATGGATTAGAATAGGCTATCAATCTCACAGTAGATTAAAGACAAATCACTTAATCATTTATCTAAGAATTATTACTGCTGTAACATTTCTTGTGAAAAGCATCATTTAAGTGATATTATTTCTTACAGGGCTAATATTGCCAAGAACCCTAAAGTATGTCTACTATGCTACCAATACTTCAAACTTATTCCAGTGTGACAAAAATATCCTTAACTACTTCTGAAAACCTTAAACTTTGTCCATTGTAGCACCAATACTCCAAACTTATTCCGGCGTGACAAAAGTACCCTTAATTTCTACTGAAAACCTTAAACTTTGTCTACTGTAGCACAAATACTCCAAACTTTTTTTTTCGTGTCACCTATAACCAAAACTTGTAGTCGGTGTGACAAAAACACTAGGATATTAGTGTTGTAATTGGAAAAATTTAGGATTTTTTATGACAAAAAAAGTTTGGGATATCGGTGTCATAGTTAGGGGTGATCGGTCTAGGGTGGGTGAGTTCCAAACTTGGAACTTAGAACCTATCGTGTTAGAACCGGTTCCTAGTTTTCGAAATTTGGAATCTACCCCGTTTGCTTGGGAACCTGCCTTATTTTTCTGATCCGGTTCTAGGGTCTACTCAGAAATAGATTTTTTTTTTTTACAAACTGAGACAAATAGCAATTACGGCAAAATAGTATGAGCAACAAAACTACATAAAATATCGATACAAAACAAATATAAATTTAAAGCAATAGGAAAGTTAAGTTCATTTAAAAACGATAAATTATCTTCTTCTAACTTCATTAAATAGGTTTTGATCGGTAGCACCCAAAACCTGAAACCTACCCACACCGTACCGATTCCAAAATTTTGGAACCGGGAATTAGACCTATTTCCATGGTCAGTTCAGTTCAGTTCTCGGATAGAGCCGGATCAGTTGCATAGCCTTAGCTATAGGGTGCATAGTTTAGGGATTTCGATGGTATTTTCCCTTTCTTAAAAAAAATCATTTGATATACTTATGATGGGCTCTATAAACTCATCCTCTAATAACATGAATTTGGAAAAAGATCATAAAAATATTAAAGAAAATAACAGGGCCGTTCACAAGACAACATACATGAATAAAGAGGCAAGGATAAGAAATTACCATCAAATTACTTATTCCTTCACGCGGTTTGCGTGTGCCAATTGGCAAACATAACAATATTTTTAGCACAGTTAATTAAGAAGAAGAAGAAGAAGAAGAAGAAGCCTACCAACCTCCTAAATCTTTACTCTTAACAACTGGTTTCTGGACTTCCAAATTTGTCTCCTCCTCCATAATCGCTAACACCATTTTGTCATGATGCAACACCAGTAGACCATCTAATACCCCCTTTGATCTCTGCTTAAGAGGGATTCTTGCTTCACTCTCAACCTCTAAAAGCACATGACAATCAGACAAAATGGAGCCTAGGCAGCAATTATATTAGACAAATCAATCTGCCAAATCAATGATTCGAGTCAAAGAAAAGGTTAAGCGAGACCATAGCTCCAATCCAAGCCTCAAGTTTAGAGAGATCTTGAATGCTGTCCTCCTTTATCTTGACCCCATCACCTGTTTCTTGTGTGCCAGTGACCCAAAAACTTCAATGCAGAGTAAATGACAATAGTGCTGGTTTTAGGAAAACTAGGAAACAGACTTTAACAGCTACTCCATTATTCAATTCGATTCAAAACCCTAGCTTAAGTGATGGTAACGAAGTACTGTGAGTCAAACTTCACACGCTCCTCCAAGTCACAAAATCAGATTCCCTCCTCCATTCATACCCTCCTCATTGTCTTCTCTCTGTGGAAAGACAGTTCTTCCTCATAAAAGAGAAAAAGTAGTTTTCAGATTCAGACCATCTTGCACTCATTCTCCTCACAAATTCTAAACGAGGCAGACAAAAACAAAATAAAAAAAAGGCCACCTGTTCAGGCATGAAAACAATTCTTTTATCTTTCCAATTTCTCTCTCCCACCAATTGCACCCCATTGCAAATCCTTCCCTAGGCACAGAGAGCCCCCTAAAGAAAAGAAAAAGGGGGAAATAAAAAAAAAGAGATGCTTCCTCATCTCTCTGCACATCTACAGAGGCAGGTTGGGGCTCCTTGTGAGGCCGAGAAAAAGTAAAGTGAAATCCCCAAGCGCCCCAACGGAAACACCCAAAAATCCCAGTCTTTTCCAAGTGAAAAAAGAAAAGCTGCAACAGGGAAGCTAAAGAATCAAAGCTTCAAGCACAACCCTTCAATCTTTCCCCAGATTCAACCAAAGCCCACTTCTCCAAAACCCCCAAAATTCACTTCCAAGAAGCAGCAAGCCATGATTTGATCCATCAAACCCCCCTGAAATATGGGTTTCTTCGTAAAGCCCTCGCCTTTATTCTTCCTCTTCCTCTCTCTCTCTGCATTGCTGTTCCTCCCTCAAGTCCCACTTGCCAAATCTGCCACTGACTACACTTCACTGGTCTACAAAGGGTGTGCGAAGCAAGCCTTCGTGGATCCGACAGGGGTCTACTCGCAATCCCTCTCGGCCCTGTTCGGATCTCTGGTGTCTCAGTCCACCAAATCCAAGTTCTTCAAGACCACTTCGGGGTCGGGCCAGACCAGCATCACCGGGCTGTTCCAGTGCCGAGGCGATCTGAGCAACACCGACTGCTACAGCTGCGTCAGCGGGCTCCCCGTTTTGACCGACAAGCTCTGTGGACGGACCATCGCCGCGAGGGTTCAGCTATCAGGATGCTACTTGCTCTACGAGGTCTCTGGGTTCACTCAGGTCTCGGGAATGGAGTTGCTGTACAAGACATGCGGGGCCAACAACATCGCAGGTAAGGGCTGTCGATTTTCGTTACCAAAAGAAGGCACAATCTTGACACATTTCCATGGAAAATGGAACAGGGCATGTCTTAAAATGTGATGTTTTTACGATGTTACGATTGTTCTGTTGTAATCAAGTGTGAAAGCGCTGTGCTGTGTAATGTTAATATAGGAAATGTCAAGCTATTTCTTTTAGCCAAGTTATTATGTTCTAGTAAACGACCTAAACCGATAAGAAGTCATGACCCGAATTTGATATGCGAATGCAAATGCAGGGGCGGGGTTCCAGGAGAAGAGGGACACGGCTTTCTCGGTGCTGGAGAACGGCGTGGTGTCAGGTCACGGGTTCTACACTACGAGCTACCAGGCGATGTATGTGTTGGGTCAGTGTGAGGGGGATGTTGGGGACTCCGACTGTGGCGATTGTGTGAAGAGTGCTGTCCAGCGGGCTCAGGTGGAATGTGGGAGCTCCATCTCAGGGCAGATTTACCTGCACAAGTGCTTCGTGAGCTATAGTTACTACCCAAATGGGGTTCCCATGAGATCGACCTCCTCCTCCTCCTCCTCCTCTTCGTCTTCGTCTTCTTCATCAGGTAATGAGGGAGAGAATGAGTTAGAACATATATACACTAAATCCCTAGGCCACACTGAATTTCTGCTGTATAATGTGGGGATAAAAAAACAGGACAAGTCGTGTGTTTTTCTTGGAATTTTTTGCTATCAAAATTGTTATAGTTGTGTAAAGTTCATAGCTTTTTGTTATCCCTCAAGATAGTGTTGTGAAGCTTTCTGTCTTTTTAACATGTTTGTTTGAGGATTAGTGCTAAAGTTTTAATGAAACGGTGGTAGGGTCAGGGTCAAACACAGGGAAGACAGTGGCTATTATATTAGGAGGGGCTGCTGGGGTTGGATTTCTGGTCATTTGCTTGCTGTTTGCCAGGGGTCTGCTGAAGAAACATGATGGTATGTTTAACAAAAGCTAACCTAAATTGGCTCCGCTCTCTCTCTCTCTCTCTCTCTCTATCTCTCTCTCTCTAATCATTTTTCAGCGACTTTTCTTTGTTTGTGAGATTGTCTCAAAATGTGGGTTTTCTTTTTCTTTCTGCAGATTTTTAGTGGCAGTGACCTAGGGGTTGAAGAAAGAGGCAAAGGGAAAATTTTGAGGCCAATTCTTTGTTTTATGGTTCTTCATTTTCAAGGAGAGAAGAGAATGGACTATTTTTTTGGGAAGGTGGGTGGTGGAGATGTTACAGAATGGAGGGAGTCAAATGGCGTTGGAAGTATTACTTTAATTTTTTCACAAAGGTGAAAAAAAAGAAGCACAAGAAGACTCTACATGAAGTAGGATTAGGAATGAATGTTTGTTTGTCAATTGTCATTGATGGATGGATGAGAAAGATGCTGTGGAGAAATGGGTGTCTTCCCTGTGTTATATTTAAATCGATAGAGGCCATATGTCTCCATTGGCATTGACTCTGTCTCTGTCTGTCTCTCTCTCTACAAGACACTGCTTAGGTGCAAAACTTTTCTGCTTGTGTTGTGGCTGGGAATCAGTTTTGGGACATCAGGTTATGGATTTTTGCAGCTGCCATTTCTTAGCCTTTAATTCAAATCACATGAATTTGTTGTTTGGACTAGGGTTCCCATGGATCGGATCTGGCCCGCCGGACCGGTCGGACAGGACATTGTCCCCTCTTTGTAAATTCGTCATTTGCAAAACTCACATCATACGATGTTCCTAGTTGGTAATATGTTGTTCTATCTGGTGAAATCCTGCTTCTATACTTGATGTTTTTGCCCATCTCATTCATCCTTGTTTGGTTGGCCAAATTGTTCTACTAATTTGGGGTATCTTGTGCTAAGACGGGGGATTCTCTTAATTTAGCATAAGATGAAGATTAAATGCCGTATAAGCTCGGCGGGCCGGATTAAATTAACAACCCAAAATCCTAGTTTGCAATTGATTAGTCCCTCTCCCCCTTTCAACAAAATGTTGATATCAAGTTAGACTCAATCGCCTCTAGGCAAAAATCGCGTTGTCATCGTTGCCGGCATTGGTGAGACCTACTGCTTATAGCCACACCACAATGTTAGCATCTTATCATACACATTTGCATAATTAGAGGTGGAAACTGTCAATTATGTGTGGTCTGCATAATTGAAACAGATGGACCTACTGCTTATAGCCACACCACAATGTTAGCATCTTATCATACACATTTGCATAATTAGAGGTGGAAACTGTCGATTATGTGTGGTCTGCATGATTGAAACGGATGGATCCAATTCCTCAATCAAGGGTTCGGGAAAGACGTTTTCGCGGCGAAGGTCAAAGGCAGTCAGTAGCAATAGCAAACTGGCAATCGCGTCGTTCACGGGGGCGCGCCGCACAATGTCGTCAAAGCTCGTTAATGGGCGTAAATGCCGCTTGTTCACCTGTCAGAGAATTCCCAATCCTACAATGTTTGGACCGCTCGTTATTCACATTGTTCCAATCAATCCCATTTCATAGTATAGAGCCAAATTCCTTTGGTTTGACTCTCCAGAAAAAAAAGGGTTTTGCTTTTGCTTTGACCTCTCGCTTGTCCGGCGACTTTGCTTTCTTTTGCGTTTCATGCTTTATCGGCATTCGCAATGCCAGCCAAAGGGTGTTCTCCTGCACGTACTTTCGAGATATATAATATCGTAATAGAAAATATTGGAGTTTCCAAGGCATTATTGGGAAAAACTATTGCTTTGAAAGTTGAAAGTTTCTTTATTTGATCAAAGCACTATTTGATAAAATTCATGTATAAATAGGCGGCCTCTTGTTTGCGCGATCTTTTTCAAAATTTGCAGTCGCATATTTAAGGTTAGGTTAATAAATAAGGCATTATTTTTGTTTTAGAATAACTGGTTTTTCGCCTGTTAATCATCCCCGACGGGTCCGCTTGGAATTATCCGTTTCAACCTTTTCTTTTCTCTTATACATTTGCCCCGGCGTGTAATTTTGATTCACGTGATGTTAGACACCCTCAAATTTGCGAAAAATATATTAAACATTACTGTTCAAAATTCAATTTAAAAAAAATAACTTTTGAATTTTTCAAAAGCTAGAGCAACAAGTATTTGTCACTTAGAAAGTCGAAAAAGTATTCAATAACTTTTATACAAGAAAAAAAGCGTACTTCGCGTGATTCTTTGGACAGTCGGATAAATGTCGACATGAAAAGGACAGCGTCACATTAAACGACGAATCGAAAGCCAAATTGAACAAAGCAACTTGGGTTTATTGGAAGAGTAAAACCCAAAGTCGAAAAAAGAAAAAAAGTGAAAAAAAGGAGGGCCATTGCCTACGCCACATGGCTTGTCTCTCCAATTTGTCCTTTAGACTTTGCAATTCTTTTTTCCCCATTTTTTTTTATAATTTTACTTTTACTTTTTACTTTCACCGTGCTTCGTTTTGGAATCCCGAAGAGGTTGCCTTTAAAGACAAGGACAGGGTAAGTCCTAAGCTACATAAATCTACATAAATTTTGATCGGAATGCTTTTGCAAGCACAATTTTTTTTTTTAATTAATCAACGATTGTCTGTCGAGCTCATCGATCCTACGTTACATTGTCTGTCCAACTCATGGTTCTTACAGTACTTTAACATGGGCAAACAGTGTATTCTTGTTTATAGAAACCTAGGTGTTCTCAAGATTGAAATCTCTCGGGAATAATGCGAGTTTTCATTTTTTGCAACTTCTACTAGAGGACATGATTAATTTTAATGGACAATTTTAATAATTTTTCGAATTTTGTATTAATTTTTTCCCTTTTTTTTGTTTTCTTCTCTTTTCCTTCTTTACTTTTTTCTTTTTTTCCTTTTCTCTTTTTTTCTGTCTTTTTTCTCTTTTCCCTCCGCCGGCCATCGACGAGGCTCAATGATGGCCAGCGGATAGAAAAAAGAAAAAAGTAAAGAAGGAAAAGAGAAGAGAAGAGAAAAAAAGGAAAAAAAAATTAAAAAAATTAAATATTAAAAAATTATTATAAATTATCCATGTCAGCGTCGGCTGATTGTGTCACGTGTCCACGTCAGTAATTGATGGAAAATATTGGTTAAATGAAATCAATTGACAAAATGTGAAAAAGGTTTAAGACTCAATTGACACAATTAAAAGATTTGAGATTAAATTGGTAAAAGTGCAATAAATTTATGATTTTTTTGGAGAATTTTCCCCACTTTCATGTTAATATGCGGTACCGTATTTTTCGCATTTAGAAATTATGACCATTTAATTTAAGAAGGGACTAAAATACCACCTTCGGAGAGTTCCATGTCGAGGATTCGAATACCTAAACAGGTTGAGTCTTCAATTATTCTTTCTTTTTATCTAAACATTTTGGGTTATATTAATCTTCACACGTACACGTAAATCATTATGCAAGAATTCTTAAGTACTTAAGACGAAACATGACATTTTGATTTACCAAATCAATTTTGCATACCCCATAAACGAGTCTCTTTTATTTTTTTTTTAAATGACAATACATCTCACTTAATGATTGTTTTGGATGAATGGTAAGACGAGTCCTTCGTGAACACTAAAAGTTGCGAATGTGCAAAATTGCCAAAAATTCTTATGTGCATATTCTTGAGATGGTACCTTCCTTACTCTACCCTTTACTTTATAATCTAAATTTCACCTCTTGAGATTTCAAATCGGCGAAGAGAGTCGGTAGAATTTCACTCGATCCCTTATCAACCAAGCGGTAAATTCTTGTCCGGACCGGAATCACCCGGGTCTATTCTAGCCGTTATTCATGTGGGCTCCACACGCGGATCTCACGTAATTAATAATTGCGATTGCATCGGGTCCATATGTTCAAAATTCTTGGTAGAGTCTCGTCACTTGAAAGCAAGAATGAAAGGTCCACCAGAAGGTCAAAATGTGCCCGAATTTTGGAACTGTAGTCAGCTTCATTGTCGTTCTGGTTGTCATATGTTGTTGAAGTACGACAATCTCATATTCTGCATCTGCTGGAAAATTCTCACACCCACTATTCTGAATATTCGTGGGATTGGGATGCGTGCATCGATCAATCATTGTCTAATGTCAGTGACGAGACATCTAAGTAATTCTATCAAAATGGGTCATAAAACTCATTTCTTAACTCACGAGCAGAATTATTATATGAGTTAGCTATATTCAGTAAATGAGTTTTAAAAATAGGATTAAATATAATATGGGTGTTGAATGAGTCATAAATAGATTTGCGACTTACTTAAAATCAACTCACTTTCATGACTCTCTTGCCCTCACTTGATTTCGCGATCACTCACCCTATAATCTCATCTCGGTTTGAGTACGAGTTTTCTTATATTGAGTTAAATATGAAAGTATTTTAGCAATATTGATTGGGTCGAGCATGAGTTACTAGATTTTCATTATTCAAAATTGGGTCAAAACGATGTGTCTATTTGGGCCGGGCATTTTTGACCCGACCCAAACTCGACCTTGCCCACCCGTTTGACGGGTCTATATCCAAGTCAATCGACATTACATGCCAACGTAGGTTTGGTGCAGTAATTGGTCTCGCCACTCCTCATTGTGAAGTTCAAACCGTTCCTATTCGCATAAAGGTGTGATGAGAGCTCTTAGTAGATAGAATCAAATTAGGATCCGCCTTGTACGTTATTAAGTTTTTCGAAGGTGTAACATAAATTTATTTATCAAAGTAGTGGTGTCAGTGTACTCTCTAATGAATGCCCTTCACCAATATTCCGATCCCAAAATCATGAAACAATCCCATCTATCTTTATATTCAAATTAAAAGTATGTTTTGTGTCTTGATTAAGCCATCTATCAACGTCCTCCATTTCAAAAGAAAACTAATCGTGGAAATTAGAACGAAAATTCATTTTGTTAAGATTTAATTTGCGGCGATTACAAATTGTGAAACATTGAAAGTAAGTGGGGTGCGTGCTTGAATCTAGTCCACATCTAATCTCAAATAGAACTCATAAGGCATGTCTTCTAGGGGTGAGCATCTGTGGAACTGGCTAGTAAGTCGAGGGCTATTACCGCTCCCGCGCCTCCGAGATCCGTACCCCTCGCCCGCCGTTTTCCCCGCATGCCGCCTATTTCTTGCGGGGACAATTCGCTGATGGGCTAGCTCTCGGGCCTCTTATCAATCAAAAGGATGGTTAGAGGAAAACACGATCCCGATCATAAATTTATCCTATCGCCAATTCAAAAGTCTATTGTAGAGTCAAACTAATTTTGAAAGTGTTTTCTTTGAAGAGAACAGAGATAGTAGGATCTATTAGGATTGGGTGCACAAATATAATGAAATAAAGAGTAAAAACGAGAAAGAGAAATCGAGACACAATGATTTATCCTGGTTTCATCTTAAACTAAGGCTACATCCAGTAGTTAGTGATCCGGGCTTTTCCTATCGACGATGAAGCTTATCCTCCATCGTCTCACTAGCCGACCTTGACTCATATTATATGGAGATCATATCTAGTATTCGGGGTTTGCCTCAATTTGGTATTGCTCTCGCGGCCCGTATCGAAATAGTGCTTTACCCCTAAATGTCCAGTCAACTGTTGTGCCTCAACGCATTTCGGGGAGAACCAACTAACTCTAGGTTCGAGTGGCATTCCACCCCAAACCACAACTCATTAGTTAATTCTTCAACATCAATCGGTTCGAACCTCCACTTAGTTTCACCCAAGCTTCATCTGGATCATGGATAGATCACCCAGGTTTGGGTCCATAAGCAGTGACAATTGCTCTATGAAGACTCGCTTTCGCTACAGCTTCGGTGGGTTCCCTTAACCAAGCCACTGCCTATGAGTCGCCAACTCATTTTTCAACAGGCACGCGGTCAAAGTCCTAGTAGTCTCCTCCCATTGCTTGGGAGCTTTCACTCCTCGACGGGAGTTCTTTCACCCTTCCCTTGCGGTACTACTTCCGAATAATTATCACTATAATTAGCACATTCTACATCTATGTTACTTCAGTAGCTATTCATTGGCTCAAACCCAAACTATAAATAAAATATGGGCTTAAACTATAAAAATCATCTGGCGTCGCACAGGCGCTGCCCCCTTACAACCTTGCCGGAGCAGCCCCGGACCCCTCCCAGCTCACTGGGGAGTGGAACATCGTGCCTTTTTATTGATGGAGAGTATGGACTACACCCAAATAGGACCCAATTGAATAAAAAATGAGATTCAAACATATAGAATGTCTAAAATCTCAAAGGCTTCCGGCGCCATTTTTATCTTTCGTTTGCACTTGTTAAAAGGACTAGCGTTAAGCCTTCCATCTCTCCGCGTTTGCTCTCTCCCTCCACATGAGAACTCCTCAGAAGTTGGCACAAACCGAACATGAACGACTCATCCGACGTCGACAGATCAACGTTGTCGGTACCACCGAACACCGACCCCCGCATAACCCACGCTCGAGCTCTGAAATCGTGGTCTCACCAGGATCGCTTCCTCTGCAACCAGCTCATCACCCTGTACTCAAGGTCCAATCTTTCGCCTTACGCCCATCGCGTCTTCGCTCAGATCCCGTCCCCGAACGTCGTGTCCTGGACGTCCCTCATCTCGGCGCACGCCGACTCCCTCCTTTCCCTGCGACACTTCGTGTCCATGCTCCGCCGCTCGGCTCTGCCCAACCAGCGCACCGTCGCTTCCCTCCTCAGGACCTGCACGACCCTTTTGTGCGTACCCTTTGGTCTCTCCCTCCATTCCTTGTCCCTGAAGCTTGGTTTCGCCAACGAGCCGTTTTCTGGGTCTGCCCTCATTAGTTTCTACACTAAATGTCGGTTGGCGGGTAACGCGCTCAAGGTGTTCCACGAAATTCCTGAGAGAGACGAGGTTTGTTCCTCTGCTGTCGTTGTTGGGTTGGCGCAAAGTTCCCGGCCTATCGATGCGTTGTCGGCGTTTGCTGGTATGCAATGTTGTGATATAGGGTCGACAGTGCACAGTGTTTCGGGGGCGCTGCGCGCCGCTTCGGAGCTGGCTGCGTTGGAGCAGTGTGCCATCATCCATGCTCATGCAGTAGTCACTGGGCTTGATAATAATGTGGTTGTGGCGAGCGCTTTGATTGATGGGTATGGGAAGGCCGGACTTATTTCGGACGCGAGATGCGTGTTTGATGAGAACGTGGCAGTGATGAATGACATCGGATGGAATGCTATGATGTCTAGCTATGCCCAACAAGGTGATGTGGAGTCGGCGGTCAAGCTTTTCCATGAAATGGAGGCTCGGGGACTTGTTCCTGATGAGTATAGCTTCCTCGCTATCCTGACAGCATGTTGCAATGCCGGTTTAGTGGTGGAGACTGAAAATTGGCTAACCCGGATGAGACTGGAGTATGCACTAGAACCAAGATTAGAACATTATACTTGTCTAGTTACTGCTATGGGAAATGCTGGGAAATTGGAGGAAGCCAAGAGGCTTGCGATGACCATGCCATTTGAGCCCGACGCTGCAGTGTGGCGTTCGTTACTAATTGCTTGTGGACACCACAGTGATGTTGACATGGCTTGCTCGGCGGCGGAGCAGTTACTGGAGCTTGACCCAAATGACGACTCAGCTTATGTGATTGTTGCGAATATATTGTCATCTTCGGGACGATATAATGAGGTTGCTGAAGTTCGTAAACGGATGAAGGATAGGAGGGTGAAAAAGGAAGGTGGTATGAGCTGGATCGAAGTGAGAGGTGAAGTCCATGTCTTCATGTCAGGAGATAGAAAACATGAGAGGACAGAAGAGGTCTACTCGAAGCTGATGGAATTGATGGAGAAGATCGAGAGTTTAGGGTATGTGCCGGTGTGGAAGGTGATATCGCATGAGTTGGGAGAGAAGGAGAAGAAGGAAGCACTTTGGTATCACAGTGAGAAACTGGCGGTGGCTTTTGGGCTGTTGAATGGTGTTTCGCCGCCACATAAGGCGTTGAGGATTGTGAAGAATCTGAGAATCTGTAAGGATTGTCACGAGGTGTTTAAGTACATAAGCAGAGCTGAGGAGAGGGAGATCATTGTCAGGGATGTGAATAGATACCATCGATTTCTCAACGGCGTCTGTACTTGCAGAGATATTTGGTAATTTGAGGCAAGTGTCTGTACTTCATTGAGGAGAGAAACCGATTCGGAATTTTCTGAAGGAAACACATCCTCAGGAATGAATTACGCCAGTGCTGCGTAATGCTAATCAATTTTTTCTAAATGGATAGTGATGATAAATGTGCCTGTCTTCTCTAACGAGAATCTGTTGGTGTGGTAATCCTTAGAGAACAGAAATCGCAAAACGTACAGAAAATACAAATAAGGTTCATCAAATCATCTAATCTTAGGTTGCTTGATAATAGAGCAACCGAGCTTCTGGCTTTTTCATGATAGATAATCGCATATCCACCACTAGAATCACAGCAAATACCATTGCTTCTACTTCATGCACCTGCCTTATAGAAGAGAATAGGATGCAGTACTGATTGCATAAAATTCAAAGACAAACTTTGAAGCAACATTTATGATTCTCAGATGAAAAGTGAATTTGTTCTTTCGGTCTGGAAACAAGCCCGCTCGATTCATAGAGGTAATCATATCGAATTGCACAAGGACCAGTTCTTGTCAATTTATACACAAATCAAAGTCTCAAAAGAAATGGCAGGATGTCAATGGCACAGAGATTCACCTCTTTCCAGATTTCACTTGACTTTTAGCTCTCTGAAGCACCTCACATCCACTACAATACAAATTAATTCAGGTGCCATGTTATTTGAAGCCGAAAATTTGAGTAATGCATTTATTGAAGCCACATTAGTATGATTGTAGCCACCAGCCAATGTTGTACACCGAAATCTTCCTTGTACACCGAAATCTTCCAGCAAGAACATTGAGTAGGAAAGGCAGAATACAAAGGTGAGAGCAAATTATTGCAAAGAAGCAAACAAGGGATTGCTGTGCAAATTGTACAAGGGATCATTCAAAGTAAACATCTTTTGTTGCTTCTCCCGTGCCGTGGTCGTCAATCTTTTCCTGAGTTCCCAAACATTGACTTAATTTTCACTTTATGTCCGCTTTCCTTCAGCTAGACTTACTCTCATAGCACGCCCCTCTAGCTCCTGGTAACAGCTCAAAAGAGGGGAAACAAAATAAGGAAGAAGATGAATCATGAAGCAGTTAGCAAAAGTGCTCAGCAAACGTATCTGTCTTATTCTGGAAAGAAACAGGGGGTATAGCAAAGTATTACCACTCCGTTAAGAGATTCAATAGCAGTTTCCATCTCCGATTTTGTCGAGTAGGACACGAAACCATAACCGCGCGACCTCCCTGTCTCGCCATCGTACAGCACTCTTGCTCCAACTACGTTCCCGTATTCTTGAAAAGCTTTTGTTAAACTTTCGGAAGTCACAGACCAGGACAAGTTTCCAACGAAAAGCTTGTAATCAGTTTCTGGGTATAAAGGCTCTTTCGGTTTAGGTTTGTCCGAGAAGTTCACCCTCAGGGTCCGTCCCATGTATTCCTGAAACGTGGAGATCGGGTCAGTCTTGGAATTCAGTTCCTGAACTGGAAGGACCTCATCATACAATTCTAAACAGGAAAAGGAAGGACTTCATTTAGCATGATGAAATAGTACAGAAAACCAATGTTGTCTTATCTATTGTATTAGCTTTTCAGAGTTGCGCATACTCGGAAATAGACAAAGATAAGCCAACTCACACTTCCATCGAGGTTTTGGATAACTGCATTACAATCTTCAATGCTGCTCATTGTCACAAAAGCGAAGCCTCTGCTTCTTCCAGTGTCTCTGTCATAAAGAACCTACGAAGATCATCGGGGAACATGAAGAGTTAAGAAGAAGAACCACAATCGAATTAACTTTAAGGCAAATTGACTGCAAAAGAAACTTCAAGCACTCTTCATACATCATGAGGTACATTTGATGTATTTTCTGTTGAGTGGCTAGAATTTCGACATTAATTTATTCTAGATCAGGAAAATGCAATTAACAAAGAGAAAACTGAAAGAGCCACTCTACTTTTCAAACTGATGAAGTTTTTCAAAACGAGGGGGAGATCCCTGGTGCGCTGAATAGTACAAGTTCTTTACTCACTACTGATTATCCGCATCCTAGCGAAGGAATATCCCATCAGAGCAAGCCTTGACAATCTCACTTCTAATGGTACTCATAGGAATTTGTAGGGGTAGATCTTTATTACAAGCTGGTAATTGAAACAGATTACTAGCTAACCAACATGACCCGACTTTGTCTTCGGTAATGAGAAGAGATAAATACTGAGGATGGCTAAGGATTTGCCAGATATTAACCCACGTCTGGAAAAGCAAAGAGAGAGCGAGAGTGACTTGGTATGCAAGGTGAATGCCAGAAAGATTTTGGTACTTTGGCTAGACTCAGACTCAGAATACATCATGTTCATTCGTTAGGGTACATCTGTACTGTGTTAAGCCAAAAGAAAATGAGTGTGCATTTGAAGCGCGAACCATCGTAGACCATACAGACTTCACAATCCATCATCCAGCCTACTTTGGAGATTCACCCACATCCTCTTTGATAATGCTGCACCATGTACAAGTGCGACAAGGTTCTTCATCATACCGTGTTTCTGATAATCTACATTAGCCAGGTTTTCCCTTTTTTTTCCCTTTTTTACAATTCAGCTTTTATTTATCTAGTTCCATTTATAGAAATCATAGTTGAAAGCATCAGAACCTTAACATAGAAAATGCAACAAAAGTCAGCAAAATGCAGTTCACACTTAACAGTGATGCTTGTTCAAACCGATAACGTGCCCAAGCTGCTTCGATTACCTAGAACGAGCTAGTAGCCAAAATGGCTCTAAAGCTATAACATGCATGCGAGTACTCATGCGCGCGTGCGGGTGAGAGAGACAAACCCCGGATTGCAAGTAAGTATTGCCTAGACTCTTTCTTGGTAAACACTACCGACCATATAGTAATAAACGGTGAAGCCCATGTTGGATCCTCCTTAAGAAAAGCACCAACTTTCCACACCAATTGAGCGCCGTAATCAACTCCGTTCACGACATTAGTCACAATGATCCTACACAATATTCGGTATCGCGCTCGACTTCTCTAGTCGATCATTAAGACCAGCGATCAGATCACAACCAGGAGCGAGAAAATCACACGGTCACACACCTCAACAAGCTCCGGGCTTCCATAGTCCTGAATTATACCGGCCAACTGTGCACTGTCCACGTTGTAGGGCAAATTCCCAAAGTAGAGCTTGGTATTCACAGTCACGCCCTCAGCCCCCTCTCCCTCCTTCACCTCCTCCTCCTCCTCCTCCTTTTCCACTTCCGCGGCAGCGGGGGCGGCCACCTCCTCCTGGGCCACGGCAGCCGATATCCTCATGCCGGCGCGGCGTCTGAGCGGGGCGATGCGGACCGACAGAGCATCGCCCCGATGGGGCAGGTTCGATGATGATGGTGACGATGGTGATGGTGCGGGGAGCCTCAGTTGTTGAGGCGGGCAGGAGGAGGGAGAGGTAGCGGAGTGGAGGCAGCACTTGAGGGCGTTGATGGAGGAGGAGAAGGCGGAGCTCATGGCGGCGGCTGCGGCGGCCATGGAGCCGGTGACGACGGTGGCGGTGGCGGCGGCGGTGGCGGTGGCGGTTTTTTCAGTTTAAGGCAGAGGGAGAGAGAGTTGGAGCAGCACCATGGAGGCTAGTGGTGGAGGGGGAGGGAAAGAGGGAGAGAGTGTTGTAGCAAGCTTAAAGCTAGGAGAGCTGACGTGGGCAGATTCTAGCCAGCAGAATCAGCAGATATCCAATCTCAGATATTACTCGGATAAGGTAAAGTCAGTCATACTTTCTTTTTCACGCGCGCGTTTCGACCTCTTCACTTCTCGAGCTCGAAGTTCTCGACTCGTCGACCCAAAGTACACGAAACTCGACCATCCGCTCGAGCTCGAGTCGACTCCCGCTCGACTCAGCTCGACCTCGCCGCCACCTCGCGCTCCATCGCTTAGAGGGTTTTTGGAAGCCCCCGCCGCAGCGCCCCGTCGCGCCGCGCCGCCGAGATGTGGCGCGGGGCTCGATCGGCCGGCGCGTTTCGCGCCCGGAGGTTCAGCACCGCCACGCGGCGCCGCGTCGACGACGAGGGCGACTGGTCCTACTCTTCCGAGTGGTGGGGGCCCACCGCGCCCGGCGGCGGCGGCGGCGGCGGCGGCCACACCGTCCTCCGCGGGGCTTCCGACCGCGGCAACGGCGTCGTCTCCGTCGTCGCCTTCCCTTCTTCTCGACCCGTTAGTCCCTCTCTCTCTCTCTCTCTCTCTCTCTCTCAAGAAGAGCCGCAGTTCTGTTGCCGGTGCCTTCTTTTTTGTTTAGTTTTGCTTTGAGTGTATCGCCTGGATTTACTTAGAACAATCGCCGAGGATGAGTTGATCGACTTCATTCACTTTCCACAAGCTCTGTGCATAGCGTTGTATTGTCCATGTTCTCAATCAAGATTCAAACTTTAGTGTAGGTCTACATTGTTGTAAGAACCACCACTTATTCTGATACCCTAAGAAGAGGTAATTCATCCTTAATCGTTTCGTGTGCTTCGCAATCTTTCTCGGTCTAGAGGGGGAGATTATGAATGGGCCCCTGCTACACCCGATGTTCGTAAATTAGTGACCCGAGTCGTCTTTTTTCTAGGTAAAGATGTCTTTCGGTTGCCTAATTCGGTCGGTTTATGCAACACTCGATCGACTATTTGCTTCTCGTTCTTTGGTTTGTTCGTTCTTCGATGTGTTTCTTGCTCGCTTTTGAGGTTGCAAACTCCAAATTAACTTTATGGTGTGGATTGATTTGTTCATCGTAGCATTCTAGTTTAATCTTCGCAGAATGTTGTTTACTGGTCTTCAGTGGAGAATTGGCTTCTGCAAAGGTATGCAGACATGTACCCCGGATCTGATCCTAGTGAACGTTTTAGGGTACTGGGATATCAGTGGCGTGTACTCCGGTTTAATGATGATACTCGTCAAAGCACTGTCAAGATTATGGCTACTTACCGGGAATCGGAACCCCACTCTGTACGCTTCATGCAGCAAGCAAATTGCCTGGCTGTTCCATGTAAAGCTTCTCACTTCTTCTTTGCTCGGCTTCCCCTACTGTTATCTTTCCTAAAGCATTGATTACTTTCCTCGGTTTCTGTCTCAATTCTTAAAGTCCAACTATTTCTGTTACAATTCATTGTTTTGACCTGTTCTCTAACGTATAATTTTTTTGTCATAAACCTTGCTTAGAAAATTTACATGTGAATACCACAAGCAAGTTAAGTAGAATAAGAAAATGTTAATAGAAAGTAGAATTGAAAACATAGATTCTTGGTTTTGGTTTCACAAAGCTTATATTGAACAAAACACTAGAATTAGAGTCCAATAACGAAATATGTGGAGTTCAAATAATAAAGGAAATGAGGAAATGACATAGAAAATGAAATAATGGACAATTAAGTAGAGACTGTGATGCTTTACTTCTTGAAGAAGAAATAGAGATCCTGGGTTATAGAATGGAATACCCATGTGTAGCACGGCCTCCCTTTCTAGTACTAATAATGACCTGGAACCCCTTTGCGGAGCTGATAATATACCTATGCTGCAGTCACCACAAGCAATGTTAATTCACGAGCTTTTGCAGTCAGCGCTTGTTTTTGTTTGGTGCCCACATGGATGTAAATTGGCTCATATTGGTTGAGACCTCTCCAGTTTGTGTGCATTTTGTTTCCCTGATGTTTACTCGTGTCCTTCTTTCTTCCCTTCATTAAAAAATTGTGATAACAGTCATAGGTCTAGCATGTGAACCTGACTTTTTTCTTTCAAATTGCATCATGTTCAACATTACTTCTAGCATGTGAGCTTCCAAATTTGAAATTTTCTTTTGAATTGCTGGAGATTTTGGTCTTGGTTGTTCCTTTAAATGTGATACCTGATTCAGTTTCATGATGCAATATGGATCAATTCTACCGTGTGAGATAATTCTGGGGACTTGTCTATTTGTCCTAGCCCTTATTTATTTGTTGTTCGGCTAGTCTATATTGCACAATATGTATATGTTTAACTTGGAATACATCTCGCGTATGCCAATTTTGTATCATCTTGCAGATCTCAAAAGCATGGTATCAGCTGGGTTGGCAACATTAGCATCTTCTGATTTCGATCTTGGGGATGTTGTACACGGGAATAAACCTATGAATATTTTGTGCATTGGGCACGGTGGAGGTAGCTTACCATTGTTTCTGGCCAATAAAATTCAAGGTAATAGTTCTTTTCCATTTATTTTAGTGTCCGTAATTTATTTTTCGAGCTGATGAAATGAGTTCATATGCAAGAATTGTAAATCTTACCATGACCCTATGTGTTGGTCCAATGTCGAAATGCATCTTGAGTCCCTTAAAAATTGATCTCTGTGTTGCCTACAAGAAGAAAACAAGATTAAAGAAGAAAGAAGTAGAAATAGGGAAAAGAAAGAGGGAAATAACACGACAGACAAAAGTGAGGAGACCAATCATTTCAGAGAGCATGGAGTTTTTACCGATTTATACTTAAGGTACCAACGTGTGTGCCGATTGATTGCTGTTAATGCTAATGGCATGTATTGAATAGCTGCTGTTGCTTTCTCCTTTTTTTCGTGAAAAATGTCTAGTATGTGCTTGTTATTTGCCTGTAAAATGATCCTAACGGCATTCAAAGAGAGCTAGTGGTCCTGATCTTTATTGGTGCGGCCATATTTTTCCAGGTGCCATCATTGACATAGTCGAAATCGACCCCCTGGTCATCTCAGCCTCCATTCAGGCAATGGGGTTTCCTGCTTTCTCGGTCCTAACTCCCTCGGGCGATCGTGCCATCTTGAAACCTGATCTCATGGATGAAGTAATGTGGAAAGGTGTTCATGAAAGGCTTCACCTCTTGGAGTCCGATGCTGAGAAGTTTGTCCTGGAAAACAAGAAACTCTACGACTTGGTTTTCATCGATGCCTATGATGGTGATGATATTTTCCCTCGTAAGCTCTGGGACCCAGATTCCCCTTTCCTTAGAGCTCTCAGCAACCAGCTGCACTCAGAGCACGGAACCGTCGTGGTGAACCTTCACGCGGATGCTGATTTGCTGAGTCCAGATGGGTCTGCTCCGTCCGTGCTTCAACAGCTTTGGCCGATGGGGAAGCATGTTTCTAGCATTTCTCGAGCTTACAAGGATGTGCTAGTCGGACAGGGAAGTTCTCATCATGCTCATAGCAAGTGCTCGGGGTTGGCATTTGTAGTTTCAGTTCCTTGGGTGTGTAATTCAACCTTGGTAGCGCGCAAGAACTTAAGGGTAGACACTGGGTTGTCAAGTACGAACGGCATTGTAGACAGGCTGATCTCGAGGTCGATTGAGGTGGAGCGCATTTTGGATCTACCGTTTTCATGCTTGGAGTATGTAAAGAGAAACTTTACGCTTGTTGATTAATCTTCTTCTCCGGTGAAACACTGATTAGCGGTTGGCTGTCGTGTGGACATCGTCAGGAGGGATGCTTGCGGGGAACCTTCTCCGGCGGTGCATGGAACCTTCTATGCCCAAATGCTCACTGCAGGGCCTTGTTTCCCCCACTTTTATAATTATCTGGATGCTTAAAAATGAATTAAGGAGAAATTTCTGGGGGCTATTGTTCATTTTTAACAAGAATTGAGAGTTGACAAAGTCTAGCTCGCCAGCTTAAAGGACTAGTGAGCCTCTTCCAAGAGGAACTACCCGACGTCAGTGGATACCTCCTATTAGAAGTATCTAAACAACGGAAATTTGGAAATGAGGCGAAAAAAAAGATAAAAAAAAAAGGTTTCCAAGCTGCTCAGCAGGATCAATTGTCCTCCTTTGCAGCAGGGTCCATCCAACGAAACATTACACAATTACAATGTCAATATGCCAAGTCTAAATGGTACGAGAGGCAAGCACATTTCGTTGCATTACCCAACTACATCCCATGACTGATTTCGGTCCCTTCCTCGACGGCTAATGCGAACCCCGTTTATTCTGACTTATTCGTAAACATAATACATACTCATACATGTGTATTTGTATACGTTATTTGATATTTTCGACTTATTCAACTTCCGGCAGCGGACGGCACTTATTGATTTCAACTTGGTGGACTTGGGTGGCTCCTTCCTCATCATGACCTCTCAATAATCCATCTCCTTATGTACCGCCGCTGAAATTATGAGCAGAAACAAAAGCATCATCTGAAATGGATGGTTTTCTAAGGTCTATGTTGACTAGGTAAGTTGCAAGTTAAGCACTTGCAGAACTAATAGCTTCTGGTAGAGAAACGGTATTGGGGAGGACGGAGTCATTCCCATTTTCGACATTGCTCTCTATCTCCCAAAGGAAACTAGCACATGCAGCAAGAATATGGCTGCAGAAACAGAGAGCAAAAAATCCAGGTCACGTTTCGCAGCAAGATGATTCCAAGAACTCTTGCTACTTCAATAAGCACAAGCAGCGATTATTAGCATAATGATGAAGAGAAGCAAGAATAGTTAAAGTAAACAAACCAAGTCGCCGTATGGTTTCTAGCAAACATAAGTTTTGGTCGAACACCGAATTTTCCTCCTAGCATTTCTAGTCGTAGACTTGTCACAACTTACTACAACCATCAATAGAAAATTAACGTTACATGAACAATCACAAAAAGTGCACTCCCGAGTTTCATCAAAATCGAAGTATCTGACATGCTTTTGTTTTTTATGCTCACTGATTTCCCTAAAAATGACTAAAGGAGCACCTACCCTTATGAAGATGATGCAACAGGGTCCTCCATGGCCAATGGCCACCCACTTGGGACCATGAGTGATGATAGAATAACAGAACTCTTGACATTTGATGCTTATCTAAATAGAATTCAGGGAAAAGTTCAAACAAAAAGCTCACCTGTCTGTAGGGGTTGCTTGAATAGCTCGTTCAAAATAAGACGATGCCTTATCATGGTCACGGTGAAGTTGCCAAACCAGCTTAGCATACATTACCAATGCTTCACCGTCCGTTGGATCAGCGAGAATAGCACGTGAATAGTATTCCTCAGCTCCTTTGAGATCTTGCTTCACCTGTACATTAAACAACCAAATAAGTGTGGATGAGACTACACAAACAAATGGACAAAATATCTATTGGGTATAAATTTGTGCATGACATATTTGAGATTCTTGTTTCAACGGGTGGCTGCAAATAACACTATGTCCATCAACTTGATATGGTGCCAAGGTCCGCACAATCGAGCTATATCATAGTAATCATGACAAGTAAATTAACATGATCCTCTTAAATAATATTGAGAATCAGAGATGAACAAAAGTCGAAGAAGAATAAGGCACGCAAGTTTCTCTATTACCTGATATAAGAACTGAGCATAAATTTTCAAAATCAATGGGTTGGATGGATCTTCCTCAATCATCTGTTTATAATTCTCTTCAATATTCTCCCCATCGGTACCAGTTGCAGTAAAATTAGCAATGTCAAACCTGGTTGCAGGAATTCCAACTGCTTTTTCTTTCTTGGAAGTTGAAACTTCTTTCTCGTCCAAAATTCCCTGCTTCTCATTAAATACCTTTTAGACTTAGTTTTAAAAATACGGAAGAGATAAGGATGTATAAAGGATAAGGAGCACCTGGAGGTGATTTTCTTGTACTCCATCTGTTACATTCTCATTCTCTAGCTCCCAGAGAAAACCAGCATATGCTGCTAGGACATGGCTGAAACAAGCAAACAGAAAACTGTTGTGACCAAAATATATACTGCAGAGAGCCCCTGGATCTTCACTACAGGCTAATATCAAAACAAAAAGTTTTCAGGCCCAAACTGCAAGTCAGGTAATACTTTGCCCAAATCCCAACAAAAAAAAGAAAGTAATTACTAAGGTTTTCTACCAGTTCCCTTCTTCAGAGCCAAGAACTAAATCCAAGTGAACGGAAGATGTTTGTGATGTCACATTAGTTTGTTTTCCGACATAGAATATACATACCTATCGTTTGCAGCGGCTTGAGCTGCACGCTCATAATAGCTTAAAGCTCTCTCTTTATCATGATAGAGCTCCCAAACTATTTTAGCATACTGTGCCAAAATCTCACCATCGTCAGGGTCGGCTAGTGTAGCACGATAGTAGTAATTCTCTGCTCCATGAAGATCCCCCTTTGACTGTGAGTAAAATTTTCGATTATGTAAAAGAGGTATCAGTGACAAGCCCGTAGATGGACGATGACCACACAAAAATATGGGCTTTTAGATAAAGCACAACTCAATTGTGTATACCTCTATCCTTTCTGGAATAAGTTTCGGAACAATTAATCATGGACTAAACATATCTGCCTTAGTTTCAACCTAAAGAGACCTTTCCAAGATATATCTCAGGTTCTCTGTTTTACCGGAAACGAGTCAAGGAATCTGATTTCCAAAAGGAATGTCTGTTCTTCATCATTGCAAAAGGTGAAAGACATTCATTAACGAGCATCATTAAATCAATCGGGGCATGAAGGATTCAAGAGAATCAAGAATTCCTATCGCCCAGATCCCTGCCGGTGTAACAATGCGATCCGAGTCCAGCATTGTTCAGTTAGATGCGCAGGCGATAGATAGGGAGCTCAGGAAATGCTGAAGATGCAGAAAACAACATAGAGAACAAGCAACAGCAAAGCAAGAACATCACACTACATACGATAGACAAATGGATCTTTTCGTATTAAACACATGATGTTCAGGAACCAAAACTAGAAACTCACGCATACACGAAAACAAGCCAAATCGAACCTGCAAAACCTGAGCATAGTGCCTCAAGAACACGGGATGGCACGGAAACTCATTCACCATCCTCTCGTAAAATTCCTCCGCGTCGCCCGCGCCGTCGAACTCCGGCAGATTCAACCCGAGACCGCCATTCGATCCGCCGCCGAAATGGGCATTCCCGATTCCGAGGCCGGCGGCGAGATACATCGGCCGGCTCGCCGGCTCGCGCTCGACGCCGCCGCCTCCGCTCGAGTCGTTCCTCCACCCCACCCCCTCCCCTCTCCCTCCCGCGTCGCCTCCGCCGCCGCCGTCGTCCTCGCCCTCCCCCTCCTCCTCCTCCTCCTGGATCAACCCCATCGCCTTCTCCCCGAAGCTGAACTCCCCGCTGGCGACGGCCGGTACGCCGACCGCGACCGTCGTGGTCCTCCGGAGCGCCTCGCCGGTCCCCGAATCATCCTCCTCCGGGTGGCGGTGGTCGGCGGCCTCGTCGTCGGTCAACACGAACACCGAGAACGAAGGGACCGATGGCAGCATCTCGAGTTGCTGTTGACGGGCCTGGCACTGCCAGATGTACCTGCAAAGCCTAGTACGGAGCTCGTCGGCCGGCGACCTCCGGCTTCAGCTCGGCGGAGAGACGGTGGGTTGGAGGGAGGTCGGCGACGAGTTGCAGGGAAGCTTGGGATGGAGAGAGAGAGAGAGAGAGAGAGAGAGAGAGTGTGTGTGTTAACTGTCACAAGTACTTTGTTTTGACTTCAAAGAGACTGTCTGGCGGTGCTAAATAGAGATCCATATCAACATCATATAATAATTAATTACTAATTGTCATATGATTTTTTTTTTGGTAAGGATTGTCATATGATTTTGTTGAGGGAAAATTTCAAAAAGGATCCGAAATAGAATTATTTTCTCAAATAAAGATATGAAGTGGACCTTGTCTCAAATAAGAATTTGAAGTACTCTCATTTTCTCAAATAAGAACATGAAGCGAATCTTGTCTCAAATAAGGGTCTGTAATGGCTATATCAGTCTCAAATAAAGATTTGACCTCACCAGCCAAAAGGTATTTTCGTCCTTTAATTTTTTGATTTTTTTTTCTTTTTTTTCCTTTTTCTGTTTTTTTTCCTTTTCCTTTTTTTTTCCTTTTCTCTATTTTTTTCCTCTCTTCCCTCCGCCGGGGCCGGCGGAGGTCGCCGGCCTCAGGTGGAGGCTGCCCTCGCCCGATGCCAGCTAGGGCGAGGCCAGCCTAGGCGAGGCAACCCTTGCTCGACGTCGGCGAGGGCAACCCTCGTCCTCACCTGGGCTGGCGAGGGCAAGCCAAAGCGAGAGTTGCCCTCACCGGATCTGGCGAGGCAACCCTCGCCTGATGCTGGTGGAGGTCGCTGGCCAGGCGCAATGAAGGCTGAGAGGAAAGAAGAAAAAAGGAAAAAGAAAGAGGAATAGAAAAAGAAAGTAAAAAAAATAAAAAAAATATACTTATAATGTTTTTGACTAAAATACCTCTTCTCCGGTGATGGAATAGTCACCGGCCGGCCAAAGGTTCTTTTTTGAAACGATTTGACCATTTCAGGCTCTTATTTGAGATAATATTCACTTCAGGCCCTTATTTGAGAAAATGACTTCACTTCGGGCTCCTTTTTGGAATTTTCTCTTTTATTTATGAGTAATCTCAAGCTTTTTTTTATTACTAAAATTAACATTTTAGGCTAGTTGACCAAATTACTTATGAATTATATATATACATGCAGCATTTATTAACCATCTCTCTCTTGCCTTCCTTACATTTAATTTATCTATGATGTGCGTGAAATTTTTTTTTTTATTGGATCTTATTCTCGAACTTCAAAACCTGCTCTGTACGATCATTCCGTCAAAGTATATCGTCACGTCATGTGCATTTTTTTAACACGGATTGCCACCGTAGCATTTATTAGGCCAAATTAATTTTTTTTTCCCATTTTTTTGGATGTAATGATGAGTGCACGAGAGATGTACGATGTGGAAGCCACATGAATGCTAGCACGACAAATCTATTGTCGAGTTAATGAAAATTACGGCCGCGTCGGTTAATGGTGTTAGAACTTTGAACGAAAGGACTGCATTGGTTCGACAACCACACTTAGGACTGAAGAGAAGTTATGGAAGAATAACATGAAACCCATATCAAATAATAATTTCATGTAGTATGAGTTCTTTCGAATTGGACGAACGGATGTCTCCCTTGCATTTGGAATCTCGCTATTCGCTCTACTTCCCGTGCACACAAATTCATCACAAGTCAAATCATGTGCCTCGACTAGTGTCAAGGCACGTGCATGATCACGGAAAAATGAATAATCCCTTTAAGGAAGTTGAGCGGTCATTTTCATTTAGTAGAAGTATAGTTGATGGTTTCTAAGGATATGTGTGAATTAGGGGGGAGGGGGGGGGGGTAAAGTGTCAAAAAGTCCTAAACCTATTGTATTGATGCTATTTCAGTTTTAAACATTTTGGATTGTGCCAATTGAGTCAATCCGGCCAATTTTAGCTAGAAATCACCGACATGGATGCCGGTCATTCTACGTGGCACGGCCGGCATTGACATGGACGATTTATAGAAAATAGTGCGTAAATATTGGAGAGGAAAGAAAAACGGAAAAAGAAAGAAAGTTGAAAGAAGGAAAGGAGAGAAATGTGAATTATAGTTGGGGTGAGGCCGGTGTTTGCTATCCATTAAAGCGAGTGGGGCAATTGAGTTTTCAAAGTCAACGTCACGAGATTGCATGAGCGAAGCAAAGCATGCGTTGACTTCTAGACTGATTCCCCCCTCCCACCCATGCACTTTTATCGGATCCATGTCCGACCCGACCCGACCCGACAAAATCCCTTTTCCGGCAAGTCTCTTACTATTATTTTTTCTTTTGGAGTTAGTCTAATTAAATTATGCAATTCAAACAAAATTTTTTGGAGGTGGAAACGGTCCAACATCAGCCACATTTTTTTTATGGAGGAAATAGAGGGACTGGTTCCAGCGGTTTCATTTTTTTTTAATATTATATTGAGGATTTGAAAAGGAAAATTATTAGCTAACAGTACTGAAATCACAAGTGGCAAATCCCTGTAAGTGGCACATTTTGAATATGAATATAGAAAAGCAATTTAAATATAGATATTTACAAGTAAAAAAGATATTATCACTAACTTAAAAGAAATCATTAATATCATCTATTACATTTTAAAGGTGAAGAAATATTTAATATGTTGGCTTTACAACTAATATCAAAATCAAATCACTAGGCAATGAAATGGCTTCTCATTCGTTTCATTCAAATCAAATTTGCTATAGAAGGAATCTTCGACGACCTAAAATCAGAGACCGCTGATATCAATTATACATAAAAACAGATGAATTAAAGAAAAGATTAAGACAAGAATAACAATTAGTAGACAAAAAATCATTCCATAAATGCATATCTTGTAGATAATCAATACGTTCTAAGAAGAAATATTTTAATTTCAATCTCTTCGATCTCATAAGTATCAAACCAAATTTCATCCATCGAATCACTTTTTTGAAAAAGACGAAACATCTGAGTCATACAAGTAAAGAGATTACAGACCCCCAAAAAAAAAGTAAAGAGAACTTTTCATTAATAAGAAAAAGAAAAAAATGTGAACGGTGATTGGATTGATGATAAAATAGAATCCTGGATCGTGAACGGTAGGCAGTACGAACTACATCCATTTCAATGAGATTAGGAAAAAATATTAAGTATGGTATGTCTAAAATATATGATAACAGACACCAACTAGAATTCGACGTTAATAAATACCTTTTACTTTCTTGCAATTACGGACTAATGAAATTCTCTCCACGGTAATGTCTTCATCGATTACAAAATACTAAATAATCGGAAGTTCAATAAAGTATATTAGATAGTCACCTTCCTATTTTTTTGAGTTATCGAGTTTATTTTATTTGGGAACGGTATCCTCAAATCTTATCTTTGGTGGAGAATGATATTCGCTCCTTTAAAAGTTGCAATTTAAAATTTTTGAGTCTACTTAAATCTTTTCTTTGGTGGAAAAATATCCACTTACTGGAATTTTTCTATTTGTGATTTCAGTACTGTTTTAAATTCTCTACATGCTAAATTAAGCCAAGAAAATAGGAAGCCATAGGAAGTAAAAAAAAAAATTGCCACTGGTAGAGCCAGTGTTCTTGTTTTCTCAATAAAAATGTGTGGTTGACGTTGGACCGTGCATTTTGCAAAATGACGGTACCGTTAGCTAATCATTTTCCTATTTTTTTTTGGAGTAAGTCTAATTAAATTAGGTAATTCAAACAAATTGATTTTGTTGCCACGAACCTTGGTTTAACGGGAAAAAGTGTCAGAAAAGTCATAAACCTATTGTATTTGTGTCAATTTAATTATAAACATTTTTTTGTACCAATTTAGTCTTAAACCTTTTGATATAGTGCCAATTCCATCCTTCTGGTTAATTTTGGTCGAATATTACTGACGTGGACATTAGTTGACTTACGTGGCACCGCTGGTACTGGCATAAACAATTTTTAAAAATATTTTAATATTTTTTCTTCCTCCTTTTGTTGATGACCGGCCATCGGCCACAGGCGAAGCCCTGGTCTCGCTTGGGCAAGGGTCCCTGTCGACTGGCCAGGCGAGGGCTCCCCTCACCAGATCTGGTGAGGCGAGGCCACAGCTGGTGGTCGGCCATCACCGACAAAAAAAGGAAGAAAGAAATTTTTTAAAAAAAAATCAATAAAATATTAAAATATCATTAAAATATGTCTACGTCAGTGCCGTCGGTACCACGTAGATTGGCCAACTTCCATGTTAGCATTATCCGGTCAAAATTAGTCAGAAGGACTGAATTGACATTATATCAAAAAGTTTAAGGCTAAATTGGTATCAATGCAATATGTTTATAACCTTTCTGACACTTTTCCCATTGTTTAACGATTATCATCAAATTTTTTGATAGTATGGAATTCTATTCCACTATATTGACTTTTTCATATTTTTATGTAAGTAAGATATTTTACATATGCTCCGTCGAGTCCGATACACATTTAATCGTTTGGCCAACTATCTGTGAAATTACCCGTATATTTGATATGACGACTCTTCAAAATTTACCAAATACTATAGCAATTCGAGTTTTTCTTTTTTAACGGTGGGGGGTCGAAAGGAGCGAGATTTACATGGCAATACGAAAAAGGGAGAATAGCTACGTGTATAAAACCAAATGCCATTGTTACTATCGTACACATCATTTTAACCGACACGAATATGATCATAATGAAAATCCAGAAAAAAAAAATAAACATGTACACGCGATTGCGCGCGTGTGCACACACATATATCATATGCATGCAATCACGTAGCGCCATAAAAGTAGAGATACGTGTCCATAGAAAATTTCGAGATCATATATTGACAAACGACGAAAATATTTTCGAGATTCTTTTTTTTTTTGTGGGCCAATCAAGTAGAGCCATAATATTAATATCCAACAAATTTCGGAGAGAAACTACCTAACTACGCAACTGCAACAAGAGCCAAATATTTTCCCTAACAAAGTTAGAAACAATAAAAGGAAGAGAAGGTGGGTTTAAATTTAGTCAGCTTAGCTTAGCTTAGCCTCTCTGTCTAACCATCTTAGGCGCTCGTGAAGAGCTCGTTCGTGACCTGTACACAACCTGCTGTCGAACAAATATAACCAATGACCACCATCGATTTCGCTCCTCGTTTTATATGCGCGCGATGCCCTTCTTCGAGCGCCATGACAGAGCTGGACGTTAGCCTCGACGTCGCCTTCTCCTCGGCGGTGACGACGACGTAGTAGACAGACGGAACGGGCGGGCGGGGGGCCATTCGCACGGTGCCGCCGGGCGCGACGATGTCCTCGATCATCCTCAACCCGTTCCAGCTGCTGGAGGTCAACATCATCTCGGCGCAGGACCTCGCGTCGGTGAGCCGCTCCATGCGGACGTACGCGGTCGCGTGGGTGCACCCGGACCGGAAGCTCTCCACCCGCGTGGACACCCACGGCCGGTGCAACCCCACGTGGAACGACAAGTTCGTGTTCCGGGTCGACGAGGATTTCCTCCGGTGCGACACCTCCGCGGTGATGATCGAGATCTACGCCGGCCATTGGTTCAAGGACGTGCGCGTGGGGACGATACGGGTCCTCGTCAGCAACCTCCTCCCGCCGCCGTCCCGGCCCTTCCGCCACCAGCAGCACATCGGCATGCGCTTCGTGGCGCTGCAGGTCCGCCGCCCCTCGGGGCGCCCGCAGGGGATATTGAACGTCGGCGTCGCGCTGCTCGACAGCTCCATGCGGAGCATGCCGCTGTACACCCAGCTCAGCGCCTCCGCGGTCGGTTTTCAAGACCTATTGGGCAAGCAAGTCCTCGTGAATGATCACAACAACCCAATCAGCAACCCTCCTCAACAACATCAGAAACAACAGCAGCAGCTGCAGATCTCTACCGTCGTCGCGAAGCCCGAGCTCCGGCGTACCAAGAGCGACACGAGTTCGATGCAAGTTCCGCGGCAAGCGAAGACGTTGAATCGAAAGGTGTCCTTCCGCGAGAGACCGCATTCTATCATCAACGCGTCAGAGAACGACTCTTCCACCCCAGGGAAGAAGAAAGGGTCAATCTCATTGCCCAGCTCCATGGTCAACGGTTCGAGTCTAGGGCATTCGATCTTCAAGGGTAGAAGCGCAAAGACGAGCACGGTCGCTAGCGGGTCGGAGGTCGGGGTCAAAGGGGCAAAACCTGAGAAGAAAGATGCCAAACCCTCAGATCCGGGTGCCAACCAAAAGGCCGGCGGGAAGTCGAAGCCGGGCGAGTTGTGCATCACCGAGTCCGATCTGGGGCCGTCGCCTTCAGAAGTGGCGGCCGCGGCGGCGAAGGAGAGGATGTTCAAGGTGGTGGACGAGACCGAGAACTCGGCGGTCGGAGGGTGGAGCCTGAGCGAGAGTGTGGAGGGCTTGCAATCGAAGCTCGAGCGGTGGCGGATGGAGCTCCCGACCATATACGACCGCAGCGAGTACACGAGCTACGGGCCAAGCGTAAAAGGCAGTGGCGGCGGCGGCGGGGGGAACGGCAGTAGGCGCGCGAGGCGGCACACCGAGGGCGAAGCCGGAAAAGGGTTGTTCTCGTGCTTTAGCAACGTATGCGGTTGTGAATGCTCCATCGTTTGCGGGGGCGACGCGAGCCCGAGGAAGAAGAGGGCCGGCAGGCGCCGCCGGCGAAGCGCGTCTCCGGTTAGTTCCACCTTCGTTTGAGAGGGTTATCTCAATCTTGTCCATTCGGGTTGTGTAAATGATCATTACGTGATGGTAATTTTTCCATGATTTTTTTCATGGGCACCGTTTGTTTCGATTGTAAACAGATCTTGGACAATTAGAAGTCGTTGCAAAAAAACAAATTGCCAATTTTCATGACCGTCGACTTACTCATTCATTTCCCTATCAACGTCTGCTGCAAATTCATATATTGGATAGATTAGAACAAGGTAAGATAGCTCGCGTCATTCTTGAATTCAACTCCTCCTGTGGAAGAAGATCTATCTTAAAATGACATGAACATCCCAGATTAATCAATAAAAATTTGAGAGTTTGCGTCGGTGACAATCGATCGCGCGCTAATCACCCGAGGCTCACATCTACGCCGACATCATCGTCACCAAGAAACGGCGATCGCCATGGAGTCGCCCTCTCCGCGGTCTATAGCCTCCGATCTTATTTTGGATGGTCACCAAACTTCGGGTTACCTTTACGTTGTAGGACGTACAATCAAACTTATCTTGGATATATAACCGAGTCGAGCCGATGCGTGAGAGATGGTGCAGAGATGGTGCTACTTCCATCTCAATTTCGGACGTGGGAGTTCGAATTCATTATTGTGTACTCAGACTCGGACTTACTGGTGCAGCGGCGGGCGTCCTTTTGTACCCTAGCAGGGAGTTTTATCCATCGCAACCGGCGCAAGAATGGCCAACGCGTGTGTTTCCCACGGTCATAAAAGAAAAAAAACAATCTGTCACCTTTCTAGTCATAGATTACTCGACGTGATATTCCACATTTTTTATGTTTCGTTTGGTACGACGGAATGAAATGAAATAAAGGTATATGAATGAAAATGGAATGGAATGGAATGAAATGACTATCCATATAATTAAACAGTGGGAGTGAATGAAATGAGGATCTTGCGTTTGGTTTTGAGAAAAATATATTGGAAATGGCATTGAATGAGATTTTTATAATAAAAATAATTGACTGTGTACTTGCATTAATACTATAATAATTGAGAGTTAGTAATTACTCAATATTCAATTGAAATTTCTTAACACATAGTTTAGAATTGTCAATACTAATCACATTATTCTGTCATTATAATTTGTCAACTGTAACGTACCATTAGTCGGAAAATGTATTCCGAAAACATCGATGACTTTATTAAACTATTCGATTATATTTTATTTGTTAAATATCGGAATAAGTACATCACCATGTTTTATATTTTGATTATACCAATTAATAATTGATAATAATTCGTATTTTTTCAGTTACGCAATTTTATTTTTTTTAGAATTTTTGGATTAAAGAAAGAGAAGAGAATGGAATGGAGGTGGAAGAATCACCTTTCGTTTAAGCGAAGGAATCGGCATTCCAATGTTGCCAGCCAAAGAGATGATCGGAAGGGATGGCCATGTCATTTCATTCCAATTATGTCAACCAAACACAATTAATTCTTAAATATAATTTGAGGCAAAAGTAAAAAAAATAAATAAATGAAAATGTTTATGTAACAGTCCTTAATCTACTATGAGAGTAACGGTTTATTTTGGGCCACAGAAAAAATAAATAATAAATAATTAGAAATTATTGTGGGATCCACTCCTTCAAGAATTTGTGGCTCGCAATATGCCGTTGTTCTAACAGTAGCCCAAAAATCGTTATGCTAGCAAAGCCCCAAAAATAAATTAACCGTGCGTATGCTGTTATTTTTCTATCTCTAGAAGCTGGCTCTTTCACCTTGGGCACTTCTCCCCGTTTCCAAGAGAAAATTGGTAGATTTAATGAGATTGGTTTATATAGATAGTATATTAAGCCACGTTAGACCGTTATTAATTCTTGAATATTACCCACACTTTTAAGGGTCTATCATTGTTTCGCACAATGTTTGATAAACCAATTTTGTTTGTAAATCAATCTTAGCAAGTCTAGCGTTGTTCTTTTCGAAATTCTTCTCTCCACAATTAAATGCTCCAGCAAGATTCAAGCAAATCAATATATATTGGGATTCCATTCTAAATAGAAACTGGCAAGGTAAACTTAATCGGGATATTTGTACCAAAAATACTAAATCTATCGTATGTTGGCGAATTCAGTCCTAAACTTTTTAATTTAGTCAATTTAATTTTTTGACGATTTTTCAGTGTAATCCATCTGACTAATTTTGGTCAGAAATCACTAACATGGTCGATAGCTATTCTATATGGCACGGCTAACGCCGACGTAAACGATTTCAACAATTTTTTTTTAAAATTTATAAATTTTTTCCATTTTTCCTTTTTCTTTTCTGTCTCTACTTTTGTTCCTTTTCTTTTCCTTTTTGATTGCGGTTGGTCCCTAGCCATCACAAGCAAGGGCCGCACTCGCCCAGATTTGAGCCCTGTGGCTAGTCATCGCCCATCGCCGAGACCGGCCAGGCGAATTCATTTGGGAATTCATGAGCAATGTTAATGTGCTTTTCCTATCTTTCACTGTGCCTTTTTTTTTTTTTTTTACCATTTGGCTTAATATTTATACAAAAAAGTGGGCTTGTTTTGATTAACATTAACCCATGCTTTTAATTAATACATCAATTTTCCTTTCATTGTTTATTTATATTTTTCATATAGCTTAGTATGATAAAAGAAGTTAATTTAGGTTCTTTGTAAGTGACTTTTCATTAATCAGAATAATATAAAATTGACTCGACTATTTGCTATTCTCAAGAGTTAAGATTTAAGAGCAATTATTATTGTTTGGTCTAAATATCTCTCATTAATGAAGTGCATTATTGAATGATAAAGTTTATAATATATATTTTTTATATAGATGTTATGATAGTAAAAAAGAAAAAGAAAGGTTCAATCAAAGTTTAAGAGTGCGCTTATTTCGCAAAAAACGAGTGATTTAGAAAACATTTTTCGAAAATAATCTCTTATATTGCATAAAGAAAATAAGTGAATGGAAAAAATTTTCATTGTCTAAGAAAATAGTTAGGGATACATTGTTATCGATGATGAAAATATTTTCCATCGATTAATTTTTCTAAACGATATAATTAATTATTTTTCGGAAAATATTTTTCAAATCGCTCGTTTTTCTCGTTAAACGAACCACCCTTAAAACGACAGAGAACCGGGAGTCTCGTCGTCCGTTAGTTCCCGGCGTCATGCGCGCTGGAAACACACAGACAATCAAATCGAAGATTGAAGAACTCGAAGCAGCCACCATCACACCTCCTGCATTCCTCTCTCTCTCTCTCTCTCTCTCTCTCTCTCTCTCTCTCTCTCTCTCTGTAGATCTCCTTCCTTATAAAAGCCCATTCAACCCATTCTCTTGCTCACTCTATACTGTCATCCAGGAGATAAACCACAACTTGCTCTCTTTCTCACAAGCAGGGTGAGTCTCTCACTCTCTCTCTCTCTCTCTCTCTCTCTCTCTCTCTCTAATGCTGGGTATTCTTCTTGCTCATGCATGACTTGTCGCATGGTTTTGCATGCAGGTGTTTCTTTCGTCAACCGAAACCGTGCTTTGTTCAGGTGAAAAAAATGGAAGAGCTGCAGCACACCGCGAAGGCCTACTACGACGCGGCTGCAGAGAACGCGAAGCAAGTAGCGCGGGACTTCGTCGCCGAGATGGACCACGACCGGGACGGCGTCGTGTGCCTCCCGGAGTTTCTACGCTTTGCGAAGGTGAAGGGCTACGTGAGGATGAGCAACCCTCACTTCTTCCGGCAGCTGAACACGAGCTGCACCGGGAAGCTCAGCTTCGACGAGGCCATCACGTTCTTCTACATCGTCACGAGCGCCAGGCCCCTGTGCGACGGGTGCGGGCACCTCGTGTTGGGGATATTCTTCACGTGCGTGAAGTGCTTCGACGACGCCGACGAATCGGGGACGTTCAATCTCTGTACCGGTTGCTTCTCCCGCAGCAAGTACGTGCACTCGCATGAACACTTCTTGGACAACGTCGTGTTGCTCCACGCCAAGAGGAGAGAACTGAAACAAGAAAGAAACAAGGTAACGAACTAAATAGCCAAGTGATGCATCTGCAATAGTCCAATTTTCTACAACAATAGTTAGTTGATAGCCGAAAATAGTCAACTTCGTTGTTTCTGAACGAATTGTTTTGTTTGTCTTCAGTTTCGGCAACCGGCAACCGATGCTTATACCTGCACGTCCCGCGAGATCGTCCCGGCCAATCTCGGCCGTGCAATAGTCTCGGCGAGTTCTGCTTTTCTCTTTTCTCTTCCTTCCTGAAAATGAGGGGTTACTGACAGAACATCTTTCGTAAACTCCGTTAAACTTTTACAAGCACAGCTCCATGAGTTTTACCATGTGTTGTTACGTTGTCCCTAGTGACTGTTTTGCGTGTGCTTTTGCGTTTTTCCAGGGCTTTTGCTTGGCTGCCATTGAGGTCGCCTGTCGGTTGGCCACCAGATTCTGCACCATAATGTGAGAGAGAGGCTGAGGAAGGAAGCGAGTCTCTGTTGATCTGAGTCTGACTAATGTGTCCCTGGTTTTTGTTGTTGGGTCAAATGGAGTTCCTTTTGAGATACAGAGTCATTTGTTTACTCCCGCATATTCTCATCTTTTTAATTTCTTGAATGAGATCGAAGGTGCTTTTCGTGATCTAGAAACTTGATTTTCCTCCGTACAATTATTTATTTAAAAGGTTTAATATCACGAAAAAATCAAAATTAGTATATTTGTGACAAATTTATCACAGACTACGAAAAATCCTACATTGGTAAATCTGCGATCACAAAAAACCACAAACTCGTATATTATTCTCAGTTAATTTTCGTTAAATTGGATTATGATCACGAAAAATCACAAAATTGTTACACGTATGACAGACGAAGGCTAAAATCCCAAATTGGTACACCTGTCAATTGTGATGTAGAACAGTTATCCTGTGATTATCTTGAAGAATGTGATCGCCGTAATCGCCGGAAATCTCGGCAATTTTTCTTATTAGGCAGTTTTTTTTACTTTAAGCAATTTCGAATTATCAATATTTCGTTTGATTTTATTAGATAAGATTAGATTTTATTTTATTAGATAAGATTAGATTTGATTTGCTTTGATGTTATCTTCATTAATTCGGATATCTTTAGAAGTCCTATCATTATAAAAAACGTCCAGCTTTGTATTCAGATATTATGAAATTAAATTGAATTCCAGTCGAATCGTGGAAGAGTTTTCCAAGTTATCGCTTCTATCTGCGTCATTTGGTATCAAAGCAGGTTTCTCCTGTGACGATGGTGAATAACGTGAATGTCAATCTCCCCGCTGCTGAGGGCCGTGAGAACGAGCCTATTACGCGGGCTGAGTTCAATCAGTTCGTGGATTAAACCGATCGGAGGTTTCAAGAGATCCTTGATGCCATCCAGCGTTTGTCCACAAACCATGCGCCTGGCAATCTTCCAGCCGAGCGAATTCCTGTCGTTCGTGATCCCGAAGATGCTATGGGGCGTGGAGGAATTCCCCGACAAAGGCGTCAAGACTATGTCGAGGATACGGAAGACGAAGACGATGATTTCCAGGAGATGCAGATTCGTGGTGGTCGCCGATACAGGGGATTCCAGGAGGAGCATGTTCGTGGGAATCGACGTCAGGGAGGATATCGACGAGATCCTGAGCAGTATCAACTAAAGGTAGATCTCCCTACTTTCAATGGGAATTTGGATATTGAAGATTTCCTTGATTGGCTTTGGGAGGTCGAAAAATTCTTTGACGCTATGGATATTGACGAGGATCGTCAAGTGAAACTTGTGGTGTACAAGTTGAAGGGTGGCGCTTCAGCTTGGTGGGAACAGACTCAATTGACGCGACGTCGACAAGGCAAGGCTCCTATTCAATCATGGGGTCAGATGAAACAGAAGTTGAAGAAGAGGTTCCTCCCAACGGACTATGAGCAACTGTTGTTTCAGCAATTCCAGAATTGCCGACAATTGAATAGATCGGTCCAAGCTTATACGCGTTCATCTAGCAAGCATTCCTCCTCCACTGAGTGACTCAGTGGTAAACCTTCAAGTCCGTATACACGTACACAGTGGTAAACCTTCTGGAGGAGGAATGCTTGCTAGATGAACGCGTATACACGTACTTTTGCTATTGTATAAGACATATTGACTTCGACATCAATGAAAGGAAGATTACTCATGAAGTTGAACCTTTAAAGTCTCCTTTTTTCTTCTGGTCTCTTTCTTCATGAGTCATTGGCCAACTGTTTTATTTTAAGGTATATTCAGTCGATCCAGTTTGGAAATTTCCACATTACTTGTAAGCAACTGGGTCTTGCTTCCTTATTAAAGCAGTTGGTTACTTATATCTCATAGTTTAGTAATGTGTGTCGCATTGGCATGATCCTGCAATGAGTGGTTATAATCTCTTACATGAAGGCACATTTTTGTGTGGAATGAAGGCACATTTTTCGAATATCCACCACAACTTGCTCGCTCCTCCATGATTCTTTCAATGTCATGCAATCCATCACTACTCTTCACCATGTTTTCTTTTGCTTGCTATGAATGTGAAAAACAGAACTTTCATGTCCCTTTACTTTGATCCTCTTTCAGGAGTGTTCCTTAGTGGATAGCAAGTTCCAACGTTGAACTTAGGATTAGTGCAAGACGCTGACTTTTCTTTGCCAACTCATTGCTCCGCTAACATGACAGACCTTGGTGTACAATTTTTTGAATCTAGTGATATAAATCTTCTGAATGTGCGGTTGCAAGTAAATGGACTACAAGACAAGCAAAACTGAATTTGCACCCACATCAAAACATCAAAAGTTCCAAAAGCTTTCGGGTAAGAATGCTAAATGAAGAGGCCTTGAGGGTCATAATGCACTGTAAATATAGTTCTTGACTAAAATAGTGAGCTATGCGTGATTTCATCCTCTTTTCACATGGAAGCAGAACGCCAAAAAACTCAGTGTAAGTTCATCTTAAATCCTACTCAAGCATTACCCTGTCTAGCCAGCTTCTTGCTGTCCAAGAAATTAATCCTCGAAAGCAAATGATATTCTTCAAGTCCATATGAATTCAATGCAGAAAACAGTTAAAATTGACATCCTACACTTTATAAAAGAATATTAAAGCAGTACAGTTTACACATGACACTAATAATATATCATAATCTTACTCTGACAAATTACATCAAGGCTTTAACTACAGATATACCAACAAAAACCAGTCAGCCAAAAACCAGCACATCAGGATGCATCAGTGACAACATCTGGCGGGAATTCCCCATCGATCTTATTGTCTCGCTTTGACATCATTGTACGAGAATAATCCAAGGACATCTGCGGCGAAATTGTTGAATCCAATCGACAATTACAAGGAACAAATGGCCAACACCCAAAAGGCAGTAACATTGCAAATAGTCAAACTGATGTTTAATTACTTCATCACTCCACCGGATGGCGCCATTCTAGCTCACTATATCGACCTCCATAGCTCCAAAAACTGCAGGTTCGAAAACTGCGCGGAAGCGGAACTTGGGGTCCGCCGCACAAACGGACTCATAATATGAGCAGCACTGAGTCAACTTCCATCACCGAAGCCCTTGGAGGAGACGCCGGTTGCACCTCGACATCAGGGTAAGCCTGCTTAAATCTTGCTTGCAGCCCTTCTTCTACTAATCGTGCGCCGCTCAACTGATTACCAAGTGACAACCACCTGAAAATGACACGAACCATCAAAAGAGACCTCAAGGCAACGATAATACCAGGATGAGATTCTTTTGGTAAAAATTAATCAATATACATGACAAGAGGGCCTTCACCCTGGAAGAGTGACAATCCTAAGGTTCTGGGCAAAACACATGCATTACCCACTTATTAATCATTATGAAATTGTTTGTTCATCAGATATATACAGTGGTCCAAAAATGCCTAGACTCTTCTACCGTCCATTGTCCATAAGAGGAATATGCAAGTTTCACTTTTCTTCGGCAGCTTATTCTTATTTTCAAAAATAAAGGACAGTAAATTGAATAACAATACCCTACATGAGTGTTGTGCATGCGAGCAAACAACTCTAATTTTCTTGTCCTCGGACTAATCCTCTCCAGCATTCAATACATCTGCAAAAACAGTGCTTTCGTTAGCATAAATTACAACGGACAATCTACGTTCTATAATATTTGAAAAACTCAAGAGATGCGGCTTCTGCGGTGCACAAGTTAGGTTGCACCAGCATCTTCAGGTATATATAAAGACATTCACCATTTTAAGATCATAAAAGTGCTCTCAGCAAACCCAGAAGACAGTAAAAAAATAGATTTCACGCAGTTTGGATCAGTTACAAGAATTAGTGTGTGTTATTCACTAACCTCGCCTCGCCTGGGGGTTTGGTACCTTCTAGTAATTACTTAGAAGCTGTTTGCTTGTTTAAGACTTCCATTGTGGAATTACTACTGGCAAAAAGGGAAGTAAAAATATCAAAGTGTGAATGTGCTGCACTCCCACATAAGAAACACTTAGAAGCCAAATGACACCATCAGCTCCTTAAAAACTGACAAAATTACAAAAGTCCACTGCACACAGCCTAGCCACAGAGAATGAATCCAGCAATCAGAGTATTTGCAATACAATTACTTAACAAACAACCGCCACACACAATCTGTTGAGTACCTTTTCACACGATATAAAGGACACAGATTGGCGTCTGCAATCTTCTTTAGCGAGTGATAAACAGTATTCCTTCAATTGCGACCCACCTTTTCTCGCAAAATTTAAGAATGGGCTTTGCGTGAAATCTAGCATAGAGAAATTGTAGTCTACTTCCACAATTTAAGAATGGGGTTCATGCAATAAACGATAAAACATGAGATAGTGGGTTCATGAAAACAGTAAAAAAATTGAAAAGTATGGACCACGGAGGACGTGAAGGGACCGCGGCTTATTCCTTTACAATCAGAAAATGCACTATAAATAATCAACTCACTGTCGTCGCTACTGTTACTGTAGTATTCCACGACATGCCCACGCCTTGTCAACATGTTACTTCAAATATTGCAATCGCCTTCTTTTGGACGGAGGAAAGACAAGTTGAACCAATTTAGGAACTGAGAAACAAACGAAATTTGAAGATTAGAAAAATTAGGATTTCAAATCAGAGCTCCAATTTGGAAAACTAACCTCGACGGATTCACCCAATGAAAGACACGAACGCTTTGTGTGAATCGTAGGAGAGGTTCTCCGCTGAGGTGCATCCTCTAATCCCTATTTTCATGCCACCCCAAAGAGGTAATCCATGTTCAAGAGATTGTTTGTGCCAGAGAGCCTTCTTCCAACTTCAAAGAGAGAAAACAACGACATTTATTCAGATACAGGTAAATTTGCTTCAATTCTCCAATTTCATCTGTTCCCACAACATCAGTAAAGTGACAGAACACATCTTCCACCTCCGACCTAACACACCGATTCAGCAGATCGCTCCAAAACAAAAGCCAGTTCGCATTGCAGACTGAATCGTTGTTCTTGGATGCCAGAGATTAACAATGAATATGCGCGCACTTTACCATTTCGACATGTCCAATGAACTTAGGAACACGCCGCAAAATAGCATCTCCGGGATGGAGACGAGATCAGGAATCTTCGTACGCACGTTCGACGCTTACGGATTTTGTCCGAATCGAAACATTCATGAGCCGAAAGACGAACCCAGAGCAAATTTGGTAAGCGCAAAATCGCAGAGAATGTCGCGGAGGCGGGGAACTTCACCGTCAACCCTTCGAATGCGAGCACGAACGGAGGATCAATTCTTGTAGCTGTAGAATATGGGTGAAGGAAAGACACGATCGCCCGGTCACACGTCGCTGCCCCTGCCGCCGATCGCACGCCGCCGACCGGTCATGCACCGCCGGTCACCCACCGCCTCGCTCTTTCAGTCATCCCTTTCGTTCATCGAGTGGATTGAGGGTTTTCTTTTATCGAAGTGGGTTGGGGTTGGAAAAAGAAAAACGCAAGTTTTGTTTTTATAAAATTGCCTTTTCCTTTGATTCAGATTTTATTTGGACAAAACTGCCCTCGCCGGAACAGTAACTTGCTCGCCAGCCGGTGAGCATTTGACCGGCCGGCGAAGCCAGGCCCTAACTTGAGACTGATTGGGAACTTCGGACCCCAATTTGAGACTGATTGGGCACTTCAGGCCTTTATTTGGCACTACGTCCACTTTGGACCCTCTTTTGGGAAAATGACCCCACTTTAGGTCCTTTTTTGAAATTTTCCCTTTTTACTTTAAGCAATTTCGAATTATCAATATTTCGTTTGATTTTATTAGATAAGATTAGATTTGATTTTATTAGATAAGATTAGATTTGATTTGCTTTGATGTTATCTTCATTAATTCGGATATTTTTAGGAGTCCTATCATTATAAAAGGACGTCCAGATTTGCATTTAGATATTATGAAATTGAATTGAATTCCAGTCGAATCGTGGAAGGGTTTTCCAAGTTATCGCTTCTATCTGCGTCAATTGTCATGTGTCATCAAACTCAACAATTTAATGGAAAATTTGACGGAAGAATCAAAGAAAACTAATAGAGGGTAAATTTGTCAAAGATCAGTTTGAGATTTTTTGTGGTCAAAAAATTGGGAAAATTACCAATTCAGTCCTCAACCTATTGCATTTGTGCCAATTCAGTCATAAACCTTTCAATTTGGCCAATTCAGTCCTAAACCTTTTGCATATTGTCCAATTCAGTCCTATTGCCCGGAAAAGTCTAACGTGGGATACCCAGTCAGCGCCGGCCATCCTACGTGGACGGCCGGCGCTGATGTGGATGCTGGAAAATAAAAACGTCATCGTTTTCTTAAAAAAATACAAAAAGACTCCACTTTACCAAAGCCCCAATTTGGATTTGGCCGGATTGCAAACCACAAAATCGTGAAGAACCCTAACTCCTCTTAGAATTTCTCCCTGTTGGATCTCATCTTGCTTTAATCACGATCGTGAACCACAAAATCGTCAAGCCAAGTCTTCTCAGTCGTCGTCCTCCCCTTCATGAACCAAACCCCAAATTACGTGAAGCCCCAATTTGGAGTCGACCAAAATCGCGAACTCTAAAATCGCGAAGAACCCGAATTTCTCTCAATTTTTCTCTCAAAATCGATCACTTCTTACCATTTCCCTCGAGCCGCGTTCTTCTTCCATCGAATCGATAGTGGTCAAGTCCCCCATTTCGCCCAACGCTCGCCCGATGCCCGCTCGGCACCTTGGCCCAGATTCGCTCATCTCAACTGCGAAGATTTGGAAACATGAATCTTGCCTTGTTTACATGGTTTTGGGTAACTGTGTGATCACTCAAAAGAACTATTTATGGAAGGTAATGCAAATCCAGAGCTCATGCAATTGTTGAAGTTTGGAAATATGAATCTTGCCTTGTTGACAGACGAAAGTTTTTGCTTGCAGTTTCTTTATATAATTTTTGTTTGTGGAGGTAGGGGAATGCAGATTGTACTCTTATGGGATTTGATTGTTCTGGGCTCTAACATGAGTGGATGAGATATGCATAGCTTGGAGATTGCATATCTTTGACTGAAACTGTCGAAAGGTCTTTTAGTATGGATAGTAGCTTTTACTTCCAAAATGGATGTACATGAACAAGTCATGGACTGCACATTGCAAAAGCAAGAGGCCTTTTTCCAGAGCTACATAGCATTGTAATATGGAAAGTCAATATTATGTTTCCTTTTGATATATGTTGGGAGTTCTCTTTCTCCGTTCATACTTAATACTCCAAGTCTTGCCAAATGTTGTTTTGAGCACTATCTTGTTATATTCAAATCTGGATTAGCCCTATCGTTTGTTCCCCTGTAATGTTGAACTGTTTGATATGTTATATGATGCTGCATTTGTTCATCTTTTGCAATAGCTATACTGGATCCACTTGTGGTCTAGTTGAACTTCTTCAGTCAAGAAAGCGGCTTAAGTTTTGATGATAATTGGTTGAGTTATAGCCTTAAAAAATCAAGAGGAAGTAACATCACATACTTCGATTGTGTAAAAGTCCTTCGTGTTACTAGGATGAAGTATGAGTGTTTTAGCATGTACGCAATAGTAGGTTATTGTTGATTTTATTGACCATTTCTGATTACAGCAGATTAATTGCACAATGTTAAGGAGGTTGTTTGGTTTATATTAAATAACCAGGAAATCAGCATGAAGCTCTATGACTTGGAAGGTTATTGAGGCAAAAGCTATATGGTGTTTAGTAGTAAGTGCTTATCCTGTATATATGTCTACTTTAATGGACTGGCTAAGTCCCCATAAATATGTGCTTATGCAAAAAGATAAGTGCACAATGTTATAGATGCAATGTCTTATCCTATACTTACTTTTCCCTTTACAGATGTTAGAATCACAAGAAGAAACTGCAGTTGTAATTCTAAAAGCATAAATAGGAATTCCACTGGAATTGACATTGAGGTGTCATCACAAGAAGAGACCAACAAATTCATGACGAGATCCGCAAATTCGTCACAATCGAGGTCGTCGGTCCCTCCAATTGACAATGATACGTCCATGTTTTGCTATTGTGGTCTGAAATCTCCTCTACGGACAGCATGTACGAAGGAGAATCGGGGAAGGAGATATCATGGCTGCCCGAGATACAAAAGTGGGAAAGTTGCGGGTTTTTTTATTTGGGTTGATGCGGAAATCAGTCAATCAACAAGGAGTGTGTCAAAAAATTTTCATAGAAGCATTGTCGAAGAAGAAGCAATTCCAACCCATAATGAGGATGATGGCAGTTCAATGGATGCTGAAATCAGAGCTCTCAAGGCACAATTGAAACGTGTGAACCAAGACGTGGCAAAGCTGAAGAAAGAAACTTCGAGATTGAAGACAATGTTGGTTGTGTCGTGGATGCTTATAGTAATTTTAGCTCACATGTTATTTGGAAATTTGAAGATGAATAACACAATGAGCTTGCCATAGAGTGTGTTAGTAAACATTGTGTTATATTAGCTATTTCAGTACATGTTTTGAGCATGCTATGTATTCTTCCACACGAAGTACATGTATGTGCACTTTATTTATGGGAATGAATCGAAGGTTGTTTGCAAGCTCCTATTTGAGTTTTTGGCTATTTCTCAACCTGTTCATTCTTCTCTTTTTTGGCTGTTTCTCAACCTGTTCATTGCTTCTCCACCTGAAGTAGCCAATGCACTTCCATTTCAATAAAACAATGAAACTAGTTTATTGCAATGCAGTAAACATCCATAATAGTAAACAAGCATCTGATTCATATCAGATTAACAAAACATTTCATTGCAAAACGATGGGATTACAAGTACTTCACATCCCGTCTGTTCCAATCAAACAGCCATCATCAAGTGCTAAAAAAAAAAAACCACCCATGACACTACTCACTGATCCCATCATCCAAAAAGAAAAAGTCAAATGCCACAACACCACCTCACTATTACCCATCATCGACAAAAAGAAAGAACATAGCCATAACAGTATTTTACTAAACCCACCCTTACAAGTGCTTCCTGTCAACATTTTTTACATTTTTCTTCTTCCTTAATGGGCCTACTTCTTTCGCTGGAACATCAACTGCACGTGCAAATGACGTTGATTCATCCTGTGCTGGTATTTTTGGTGTTTCACTTCTCGTCCTCTTCGAGCAACTTTTGCACTTGTATGCGCAACCTAACATGATTACATTATGTTTATGAAATTTTTACTAGTATAATCTAAGCTAATAAGAAAACACTACTTACTATCCCAGCAGAAAGAGGACTTACATTCACACTAGTAGAGCCACTACCACTACTACTTGCACTGACATTGCTCGGATGTTTTTCAGCCTACAAAGAGAATATTCGTTTCAAGTCTTATTCAAGAAGCAAGTATGACACAATGGAAAATGGAAGTACTAACCGAAAGTTTTTGCCTTGAAAATCGTGTTTGTGAGGATGTAGACCCTATCTTCTTAATTGGACATGTCAAACTATTGTGTCCCGTCTCCGAGCAAGTTCGACATGTCATCTTCATTCCTATTCTCAACATCCTAGATCCACTTGCCACCTCACCTTCCTCCCTTGATCTTTTCTGTTTACGTCTACCAGGCTTCACCCTAGCTGGAAGTGGTTCAGGTGGCTCCCTATTAGTCTTTTTCCAAAATTTCTCTCCTTGAACTGGCATTATCATGTTCTCATATGCAACTAAGAACTTGGCTTTCTTATAATATTCATCAATATAGTCATATGCATCCTCTTGCCTATGATTTATAGCAGAAATGGCATGAGGACAAGGGATGCCAGTTAGTTGCCATCTTCTACAAGAGCAGTCTCTCTTCAACACATCCACCACGTGCTTCTCACCCTTATCCATCACCTCATATCCAGCATCACCATTCCATATCACTTGGCAATAAGTTGCACCAACTCTATTTTCTTCCAACTTTCTTACAATTCTCGGACCACAGTCCCTTCTCCACTTAACACATGCATCCCTTTGTGTATGCATCCTTGTCATTATCATTATTCGCATGTCCTCCAACATACTATAAATGGACTTGCACCTAGCATTTATAATTCTTCCATTGAATGCCTCAGATAAGTTGTTGTCAACAATATCACATTTCACATCAGTAGTAAAGAAAGCCCTAGACCAGTGCCTTGGTTCTGTTTGAACCAAGTCATGATATGCAGCGGGACTGATTTTCTTCAACGCTTGAGAGTGTTCATCATACTCTGCCATAATACTGCTCTTAGCACATTGCCAAAACAGTCTTTGCATCTGTATCCCCTTATACTTCTTGCCCCAATTGGCATAGATGTGTCTGGCACACATCCTATGCTCAGCTGCAGGCAACAGCTCAGCCACAGCTTTTAGAAGACCCTGTAAAAGATGATTACAATATAAATCATATGTTACTAGTTTGACCATCTAATAGGCATAACCAAAAAATAAACAAATAAGGAACTTACCTTCTGTTTGTCACTAATTATGACCCAACCCTGTCCATATGTGTGTATAATATTGAGATCATACATCAAATTTGTCAAGAACCAAGTCCAGGTGTCTGTACTCTCAACTTTAACAATTGCCCAAGCAATTGAGAACATCTGATCGTTTCCATCCCTTCCAACAGCACACAAGATCTGACCTTGACAAATTCCTTTCAAGAAGCAACCATCCAACCCCACAACTTTTCTACATCCACCAAGGAACCCTTTCTTACAAGCAGCAAAACAAATGTACATTCTCTCAAACAATGCCTTAGTTTGCATATCAGGCTTTTCAACCTTTAATATAATAATACTCCCAGGATTGCTCATCCTAAGCTCCTCTGCGTAATCCCACAACTTTGCATATTCCTTCTTGTAGTCTCCCATCAACACTTTATAAGCAAACAGCTTGGCCTTCGTACATTGAGTGATACTTACATCTAAGCCCAATTGTTCCTTGATAAGTTCCCTCAAAGCATTAGTTTTAATAGTTGGCATTGCTCTTATTGTGGCAAGATAGTGATTTGCCAACCAAGAACCCGTCACCCTGTTATTTTTGAAGCTAATGCTACAAGTGTGTTATGAATAGTAGGTCTTCACATGAAATGATCCAGTATGAGCATCAATAGATCCAAAGATTCTCCAAGGAGAACTTTCACTAACACATTTTGCTTTAACACATTTCTTTTCATTCTTTATAAATTTTATCTCTCTACGATCAGCCACTGAATACTTTATGAGAGCATCTTTGAATTGCCTGCTACTATCAAACATCATAGACACGATAAACACAAGCACATCACAATTAGGATCATACCTTGGAAAACTGTTTCTCCTTCTAGTAAAATCATCATCTTCTAGTCCTAAACTCTCATCTCTATCCATTTCATGGTACTCTGTTTGGTAACCAACTTCAGAATCAACTACATTATCCACATCAACTAGAGATTGTTGGGAAGGTACCAATTCTGTTGATGGTTCTCCTGTAATCAAATATTTTGTGGCCCTGTTACGGAACTCTTTGATGTTCTTTCTTGCTTCTAGAAGCTCCTCATTATCATGATCATCATCATCAGTCGAAATTCTTGCATCGACTAAGAAGTCTGTCTCGTCATCTTCATCGTCATCCACCATAAATTCATCACCCTCTATGCCAGTATAATCATTTTCATAAACTAAGTCATCGTGATCTAAATCACCCTCATTCTCAACCACTACATCTTTACCCAAACCGGCATCATCACGAGCACCCTCACCAGTACCCTGACCAGCACCCTCACCGACACCTACACCGACACCTTGACCATCACCTTCACCTAATTCATCGACTATAAAGTTTTCTCCATATATTTCGATCAACCCATTATGCAAATAACTGAAAATTAGTTCGACATCACTACTATCATTCCATATGTATCTCAATTCATCTTCTATAGACTTTCCAGGAAACTTAAAATAAAGGTGTTGGAATGTACTATTTACCCCATTTTCTAGGTCACTGATAAACCCTTCGTAACTCCTTGAATTGATATTGACTTGCACTAAATCCATCTTCCCCCCAACATATTCAAGCATTGGGGAACGGACAAATTTTCCCCCGTGGAAAAGGCAAACCCATGCGAACTTGTCGCTCATCTTGACTCTACACAAAAACACAACTTGCGTTATAAACATATATATAATGGAGGAACAGCATAATAACATACAAAAATAATTGCATACAATATCTTCCTTTGTAAATTTTTCATGTGAGATAAACTTGAAAGTTATTAAGAGTTAGTGCTAAAACAGCTACGAGTATTCTATCTCCACCATATAATGCTCATAAAGTACATATCACCTATCTAATGTTTATTTAGGCATATATTATTATGGTTATTGAAAATATCAGCAGGGCAAGTTGTTAAGAATGATAAAATCCACCTATATGTAGGATAGATAATCGAAATTTGTTTCTTTTATCAATTGTTATGACAAAGCATTTACTCTTATAGTTTAAACGCTCAGCATACTGTGTTTTAATGGCTCGAAGTGAGAATTTGCAAACTAATTTTTTATTCAACTTGATTTACAGTTCAATCACAAGACTGAGACTTATGAATTTAAACTCCATGGCTTATGGCCCTACATGATTCTTACATCTTCTCAGTCATCGTGTAGTCTATGAAACGTGACGGTGAGTGCAAGAAGACAAGGATTATTTCTCTTCCAAACAAAACAACACGCGTGAAGAAACCGAGGCAAATGGATTATTTAGACTAAGACAAGGACAACATACCTTTTGACTGTTCTTCGCTGAGTTCGGGACCACCACGTAGAGTTGTCGCTTTTACTTGACACTGCCGACAACACAAGAAAACCAGGACCACAAACTTGATCGTGTTTGCTGCGGTTTGTGACGGACGAATCGGGTCTCGATTCGGTCTTCGCAATCGAGTCTTCGCAATCGGGCGAGCGTTGGGCGAAATGGGGGACTTGACCACTATCGATTCGATGGAAGAAGAACGCGGCTCGAGGGAAATGGTAAGAAGTGATCGATTTTGGGAGAAAAATTGAGAGAAATTCGGGTTCTTCGCGATTTTAGAGTTCGCGATTTTGGTCGACTCCAAATTGGGGCTTCATGTAATTTGGGGTTTGGTTCATGAAGGGGAGGACGACGACTGAGAAGACTTGGCTTGACGATTTTGTGGTTCACGATCATGATTGAAGCAAGATGAGATCCAACAGGGAGAAATTCTAAGAGGAGTTAGGGTTCTTCACAATTTTGTGGTTTGCAATCCGGCCAAATCCAAATTGGGGCTTTGGTAAAGTGGAGTCTTTTTGTATTTTTTTAAGAAAACGATGACGTTTTTATTTTCCGGCATCCACATCAGCGCTGGCCGTCCATGTAGGACGGCCGGCGCTGACTGGGCATCCCACGTCAGACTTTTCCGGGCAATAGGACTGAATTGGACAATATACAAAAGGTTTAGGACTGAATTGGCCAAATTGAAAGGTTTAGGACTGAATTGGCACAAATGCAATAGGTTGAGGACTGAATTGGTAATTTTCCCTCAAAAAATTAGTTTGGGATAAATTTGTCACGAGTATATCAGTTTGGGGTTTTTTTCGTGGTATTAATCCTATTTTAAATGGACTTCTATTCTGTATACTGGCAAGGCAACTCCATAAGTGAGGTTATAGACACATTCAGGTTTTTATTTTGAGAAAAAAAGTAAGACCTATATCAAGACTGCTAAACAAAAGGATGTGCGTGAGATTGTCATTACGCATCATTTAATGAACTAATGATGCAAATCGGTTGAATGAATTTAGTGTTGCTCCTTTATTATCAATAAGTGGAATGGTATGCCTGAGCCCTTATGTGCAAAATAATTTGCGAGAGGGAAAATTTTAGTTTCGTTTTCTTTTCCCTTTTCTCCATGTAAAAAATAGATGGCGATCCTATGGAGGGTGGCTTTATCGGAGGAGGGATTGAATCCTATATAGCAAAAATATTGAATTTCAAACCTTTTATAGCATGTCATAATCGAAGTTTAACAAATTTCAAAGCATAATTACCGAGTTACTGCATTATGCCTCAGTGAAAAAACCACTCAATTGGTGAAAGGGTTGAAAAAGATTTAGGAGGGCTTCAAAGTAAATCGGACAATTAAGTAGTTTCATGATCTTTTCCTTCTTTATTATCAGTTGCACCATATACAAATTAAAAACTCTGCCTCTTAAATTAAAATTTTATCATTGATATCCTCTGAATCGTGGACAGATGAACATGTACAATCTTGACTCCATCCCTCGTTTCTCACTTCTTCGTGCTCCACCGGTTCCATTGGATCCCCTGGGAACCAAATCGGTTGGTCCGACCTTGAAACCAAGTGATCCGGTTCCTAATTCCAAAATTGAGAACCGATCCTCCTAATCCGATTTCTAGTTCCTGGGTGGGATTGGACCGGACCGAACCGGGCACCAATCCCCACTATTTCTAGTGGGCAATGCAAGTATTGCTACCGCCACCCCTTCATCGACAATGGACCTTTTTTGTTCATGATTCTGCCGCCACTGCTCTCTCTTTTCTTGGGGAGAGATGGTGGGGGCTTTGACGGGGGCGGTGGGGAATGGTAGGGGGGCGTATTTGGAAACACGCCTCGGTTGGCGCCAGTGTCGACATCGCCCAGTGGTCGCAACTCTTTGGTGACCACTAGACGAGTGGTTGCCTGAGACTTTCGCTCTCCATTGCGTGTGTGCGGTGGTCAGATGTGGACGGATATGGCCGCGGTGGAGTACCGCAAGGCGACCAACCAGTGGTGGTCTCCTTGCTTCGACAACCCCAAAGTAGTTGTCGCACCGGTGCTCGCGGTAACGACAACCACCCCATGTTCT